TTAATTCTATCCTCTTCAAAGAGAGCACAAACCTCTTCAGTCTTCAAACATCCAAACTCGTTGAAAGAAAATACTCAGTCTGGAAATCTGTCATGTTAATTTGCTAAGGCATCTACCTCCAGAGTCATTGCATTTTGTGACCCTTTGGTAACGGACTCAAAGCAATTGACCACAAAAATAAATCTTTCAGTAGTTTCACAGGGTGTGAGGGTTTGCTCAAAAGGTCATTTCTAAAGAGTAAAATCTTTGAATAGATGAAGTTACGTAAAGTAGATGTTGTTTTCATCTGATTATTCCTGATGAGAACATAATTACATTAAACTTCAAACTCATTCCCCTGCCATTTTATTAGAGATTGAAGTCTGTCAAAAAATGTTATGAAGTTGCAAATCACTAAACCTGCTAAGCTCTGCTCAAAGTGTTTAACATTGGAAACCAAATTACTTCATCAGTCCATTCCTTACTATGCTGATAGAACTTGCTGCCCACCGCCTACCAACATTTCCAGGGTTGATGCAGAGCAAAGAGAACTGCTGCCAGGCCTGACACCTTAAGGGAATCACTCTCAGCATCACTGCTTTTCTTAGCTTGGAGAGGCCAGGATGGCTGTCAGGACAGCAGGACTGAGGCTCCAGCACGGAGGTTGTGAGCTAAAAGGAAATAGGGGTACATGGTCATGGAGCTGCCACAATGAGGCAGGTAATAGGATGATGATAGGATGATGATAGCCTTTGCTGAGCAGAAGACTTGCACAGGCATCCAGAGAGGCATCCCTTTGGGAACCAACCCCTAAGGAAATTTTTGGGGGTGGTCTCTGCTGGTTTGTTTGCCCCCTTTTAATCTTTCCATCCTTTGTATAAAATGCATCCCTTGTATAAAGTGCCCTTGGGCACTTTAGTGTATTTTAAGTATTCCTAGGACCTTCTGCAATGGCAGGGCATGTTACATAATCCTGAAAGATATATTTTCTTGGTTGCTTTAAAATACTTTCTTGCAATTAATAATTTAGCTATTTACTTAACCACAGGCAGACTATAAAATTATTTTGAGAAGAAGTAGCGTGTAAAATTATTTTTCCTCTTAAATCAACATTATCACTTTGAATTGAACCAGCTGAACAACTTATTTGATGCAGATTTACCATGTTTGGGATACAACATGTTTTAACATGTATGAAATTCAAGGATGTGTTGCTCTGATGACTTGAGCTGCAGTTTGATAAAGTAATTTTGTGTCTTTGTTTGCCTGCAGATTGAAGTAGCCAGTTAGCATGCATAAAACTGATTTTTTTTTTTTCTGGTATGGCTCTGAATTTGCTGTGTGGCTGCAGACATTAGCCAACTTCAGATAATGAGAGATATTAATGAAACAAACTCATAGTTGAAGATTGAGCCAAATGACAGTTTATTTGGGCAATGCAAATTCTAGCATCTACTACCCTCTGCTGGGTATAAAGGAGTAAAACTCTCAGAAGCTCTTTGTGAGCAGCCATAGGCATGAATGGATGCCAAGAATTCCTACTCTGAGATTTTTAAGCAAAATTATTTAACATCTATCTTTTAAATTTGCATGAGTTCTTTTTAGGTGGACAGTAGTGTGATACTCTTTCTTGAGCAGGAGATACTTAAAGATCCTCAGCATTTGCACAGCCTGTCATGTGAAACAGCTTACAGACTTAAAATGCAGGGTTCTGAATCTTTGACAAAGACTATGGACAACCTCCACTTTTGTGTGTATCTCTATGACACCATGAGAGTTACAGAACCATGACAAGTCTGTCAGATTTTAGTCACTCAGAGAATTTTGCATGACCTTGTGTAGTGGAGGCTGGTTGGATGCCAGGTACTCACCAAATCTGATCTCTCACTCTCCTTCACAAACTGGACAGGGGAGAGAAAATTTAACAAAAAAATTTAACAAAATCTATCAAATTTATCTCATGGCTTGAGGTAACAACCGGGAGAGATCACTCACTAAAAAGGGCAATGGACAAAACAGACTCAACATAGAGATTTGGATTAAATTTATTACTAAATAAAATCAGACCAGGATAATGAGAAGTAAAATGAAACCTTAAAACCATCTTTCCCCTACCCTCCTTCCTTCCTCGCTCTACCTCCTTCTCCAGCAGGGCAGGAAGACAGAGAACAAGAGTTATGGTCAGTTCATCATCTGTGGTTTCACCCACTGCTCAGGGAGAGGAGTGCTTCCCCTGCTCCACCATGGGGTCCCTCCCACAAGAGACAGTTCTCCAAGAACTTCTCCAGCATGAGTCCATCTCATGGGCAGCAGCTCCCTGCAAACTGCTGTAATGTGAGCCCATCCCACAGTCCTCAGACTGCTACAGCGTGGGTCACTCTTCCACAGGGTTCAGTTCTTGAAGGACAGGCTACTCCTGAGTGAGCTTCTCTCTCCATGGGTCTCCCACGAGGTCACAGCCTCATCTCAGGCTTCCACCTGCTCTGGCAAAGGCTCCTCCATGGGCTGCAGGTGAATCTCTCCATCCCCTTGGTCCTCCATGAGCTGCAGGGACACAACTGCTTCACCATGGTCTTCACCACAGTATGCAGTAGAATCCCAGTTTTGGTGCTTGGAGCACCTCCTCCCTCTCATTCTCCACTGACCTTGGTGTCTGCAGAGTTTTTCCTCTCCCATATTGTCACCCCACTCTTTTCTGGCCACAATTACAACTGTGCAATAACTTTTGTCCTTTCTTCCCAAATCTGTTACTACAGAAGCATTACCACCATTTCCAACTGCCCCAGCCTTGACCTGCAGCATGTCCCTCTTTGGAGCCACCAGGGATTGGCTCTGCCAAACATGAAGCAGCTTCTCACAGAAGCCTGTAGGTCCCACTACCAAAAACCCCAGTACACCTAATCATTTGGCAATTACGTGTTAACCTGCGCAGTTAATTCTTCAAAATTACGTGTTTTGTTTATTTTTTCATTCATTGACATACAGCCACACAACATATTCCTCTATCTTCAGTTGCTTTGTCTTTCTTTAAAGACCATACCATGAATAATCAGTCTGTGGGATCAAGAGACTGGATCCCTAAATCTTTCAAGGGTTTATTTTATGTAGAATTATAAATTACACCTTCTCAAAAAGGTTAGTAATATATGCTCTCCTAGGCATAAATATGCCTTTAGAGAAACCAAGAAACAATGTTGGGCTTTACAATCATTCTGAAAGCACAAAATTCAGTAATTTGCCAAATGCAACACTGTTTGTAAATACAAAAAAAAAAAAAAAATCCAAGTAAAGGGAGAAATAATTTTGGGCTAATATAATTTCAGATGGAGTGTAACTCCAGTTAATGCAGTGTAACACAAACATATCATGTATGTAACAACAGTACATAGTGGAAAGTATTTCACTTGCTTGTCCTAGAATAAAGTTTTATAGATCACAGAGAAATACACTTCCTGCACAGGACTCACCTCATGAGCTGCAGACTTAATAGTGTATCATCCTAGTATATGGAATTTTGCAAACAGTAATTTTCCTCATCCTTTCTGCAAGACACTTGTGGCTCTGGGTTGTGTATGTGGGATGTGAAGACATACTCAATGCCAGAATGGTATGCCATATACACAGTAACCTGCAGCATTTAAATGACACATCATGAACAATACCACGGCTTTTGGAACTTTACCATTACATCTTGTAGCCAGCAAATAAAGACAGTACCATGAAAACTCTTTGCTGTAGGCCAGAGTCCTTTCCTATCTATGTACAATCTTAAATGTACTTGAAAACCCTCTGTTAATCTGTCACATTGTGCTGTACCAAGGAGATTAGAAGAGTCATGACCAAGGGTGATTGATTTTGATGTCAATACTTCTAAAATGAAGAGGGCCCCTAATAATAATAACTACATACAATGGGAACCTGGTAAAAGAATACATTTGGCTGATCATAGTAATGCTTTGGGCTGATCACAATGACCTTAGGGCTAGGACTGTCACACATAAGGATCTCACTTGATAGTAGGTCCCTTTCAAAGAGGTGGTGACGTGGTGTCTACAGGGAAACTGAAGTTCCATTGTACAGTGCTGGGCTGTTCCAGTGATATGCAGAGCAGCCATCACTGAAATGCAAGTGTTGAGATGCAAGAAACTAGCCTGGAGGTTATCACCAGTATCACTGTAAACCAAGTGTAATAGATTCGTATGGCCACCTCAAGTCTGGAATTGTAACAAGAAAAGCAAAAGTAAGTTTTGTCCTTGGAGAGATTCTTGGCCCTAGATCAAACTTGTTGAAGGAATGAACAGAAAACCACAGTGCTTTCCTGTAACCTCCTTACACTCACTGGATATTTCAAATCCAAAATCCCAGCTATCACAACTGAGCCATCCAGCTTCTTCACCAAACACAGCTATCATTGGACTTACCTTTGAAACCTACTGAGAGAGACCCTGAAAAACAGAGAAAAATCAACTTTCCTCTTCTTCAAGAGGCACAAACCCCCTCTTTCTTCAACTGAGATTTAGCAACTTAGGAGTGGAGTGGAAACAGATATTGTTTGCATATGAGATGACAAATTTTTAATGAAAAATAACTGCATTCCTAGGAAAATATAGATGTTCCTAAATATTTGCAGCTTCCATGCCTCGGCAAACACAATGGAGCAGATTTATAGTAAACTTACATTCCACATGAAAAAAGTGGACAAATAAAAATTCATAAGAGACAGAGATCTTCAGCTGAGTGATGGTTAAATACAGACAAGTTCCCTTTCATACTGGACAGATATTTAGCTGGTGGTCAGAGTCAGGAAGAGGAAGAGCAGCAGAGAGACATGCTGAACTGGGGTTCAGACCTTTTGGAACTCTGGCCACAACTCAGGTTGAGAGCAAGAATTTAGAGGTTGCACCTGTTATGCTCTATTACTTTGGAAAAAGAGGCATTAAATTAAGATTAGATTATAAAATACAATGTATAAATTATATAGACTTCTTACAAAACTTCGAAAGCACTACAGAAAAAACAACTTCTTTGGACCAAAGGTTTATTTTTAATGACACAACACTGGAAAACATAAGTTACAGATGACTTTTTGATACAGGATATATATATCTTACTTTAAAAGGTTCTGTGAAGGTATGCTGCATAAATACATATAGTGAAAATATATTGTGTTTATTTTATTCTCAGAGATTAGTTCTGTTTCTTTTTGAAAATGTATTCAGTCAATTAAATAAAAAAGTATAGATTAGCATCATAACAACTCCCCCCTCCAGGTTATCTCATTGTAACTACTGCAGCTGGAAGAGGAGATTGAGCCATGCCTTCTCAAAGGTTAGCGGCTTTGAACATGATGTTATTCATCATCTAAGAATGAAAAGTTCACATTACAAACACAGATATTGTATCATGTTTTGGCAATAGAGTAGTTAGTTTTACTTTGAACAAAACTATTACCTGTAATGCCAGACAATGAAAAAGCAATGCATGTACTGGATGATACTACACGGCCAAAGAGCTACAATGAAGTTGTGAAAATGCATATAGCCATATGCACTTATATATACACATAAGTTCTTGTGTATATGTATTATGCATGTCCAAAAATAACACTGAAAAATGTTGCAGTAGTTAACTACCTTTTTAACACATGGAACTTGTAATAGTTTGACCTTATAGCTACAGGATAATTAATTAAATTTTCTGCAGTGCAACGGAATACAATACACTTAGTGCAGAGAAGTTAAGGTTTTGGTATTGAGGAAGCTAATTTCAGATTTCATGGGAAAGGACCAAATACAGGATCACCATAGCTCTGACGAAGCACAAACAAACCTGTCGCCACATACTCGTGAACAAATAAGGACATTTCATTTTTAACTGATTTTTTTTCCCATGTACTGCTTCAGAAATTACAGCTTAACTGTTTGCATTCATGCTCATTTGATATGTTTCAACTAGCTTTGTCTGGCACCAGTCTGTAAACCATTAACAGCTTAAACAACAAAAAGGTGGGCTCCTGTGTTTCAAAGAGGTTAAAAACCTACTGACTGAGTTTCATACTACATTTGTCTGCCTGGGAGAACTACTCCAGATGGCGTGTGAAGTTCTCTGGGAAAAGTCCTTTATAACTATTTGCATCTTTGTACTGAAGCCACTCGGATTCCTTAATGCCAGTCAACCAGCCAGCCTCCTGCAAAGAAAAAGACAGAGTCTTTTAAATTTCACATCTCCCCCCATTCCTCACTATGAGCTTCAGACCTGAAGATATTTCATAATAACATGGCTAAAGGATTTGGTGTTTTGGTTAAAAAGCTGCCTCTAATTTTGCACAGACCATTTTCTCTGTTCTACCAGACTACAGTTTTGTGAGACCAAGTGACTGCAAGCACACAATAAAGCCGTTAGCCCATCTAACTCCTGGCTGAACTTAATATTCTAGGTGGGGGAAGAATAGCTCTGAATCCTAATTTTTTTCCTCGGAGGTATTTTTCTCTCATTCATGTATCAACTGTAAGAAGAAAGAACAGTTCTTCCAGTCTCAGGAGTTACTATCTCTAGAAAATATGTAGTGCTTTTTCAAAAAACTTCTGGGAACCTAAACCAGGACTTGACAAGCAAAATATCAACAAATCACCAGCTGTCCAAACAAACAAATGAGAGATTTCCTATTGGAAAGTACTGGATTCTCTCAAGTGTGATAAATTCTACCTAGAATAAAATCATTTGGTATTTTTAAAAATGACCAATCTACTCTTACCTCACTAAGAAACTCTGTATCTTTTTCCTTTAAAGAAAAGGAACTGAAGCAAAGCCATGGCAAACAGAACTTCTAATGTTGCCACATTATTACTGTACAGACAGTACATATGCAGATAGAACAGCTTGAACAGATCATCACATATACCATCAAGTCATGATTTTGGGGTGCCTGTGTGTGCTAGTGGGGGCTCTCTGCCCCAAAATAAGCATCATTAAAGCAGATCTAGCTTATCTGTGACATTGAATGGGTACGTTTAAGTGAAGCATGTCTAATATCTAAGAGATAGAGGAACTGCAGCTCCTTAGCATAGGCAGTATAGACTCTAGAAAGGAATACACAGTTTTACTGGATAGTAACTTCAACACAAGTCTAATGGAAAAAGCCACTGGGTGGGACCATTTTGCTTCAAATGGAGGTTAATGTTACCAGGTATATTGGAATTACAGCTTTAGACAGGTCATTTTTGAAGGAGAATAAAGAATAACAAAGATAACCTCTATAAAAATCAACAAAGTACCTGGCAAAAGACAAAAGTATTTGGCTTCATGGTGATGTTAAACATGAAGGGGAAATATGTAACGTGCAATAAATATATGAAAAGAATGGCTTCAGAAACATGAATACATAAAGGTTTATTTTCTCCATCACTGCACACAATTTACTTCAATTAATGCTAATGGGAATTTCAGTGCACACCAGAAGAATAATTACACTTCATGGACTCACCAAGCATTATCATGTATTTAACACCTAATATCCTAGCAAAAAACAGACTAAAGTCAGAGAGCATATTTTGCTATCCTTAGAGTAGTGTCTATTCTGCAAACACTAACAGTGAAATCAACTAACAGTGAACTGCCCATGAGGTAAGACAGCATAATTTGAGTAGGGATAATATATTTAATTCCAATAAAAAGAGTTATGTACCTGCTGTAGTGTAAATATTTTGTTCTGAAATAAGTAAAAAAACCCCACTCACAAAAGCCAAGAATTCCTGTTTGAATTAAAGAAAGCACAGCTAGAGGACTGATAACTACCTAACTTAGAACATCATTAACCAGCAAAACAATTTCAAACACAGTTCTCAGGGCTCATATGTGCTTAGGGCGTTAGTATTTATGCCTATTTTAAGAGATATTCTTCTTTCAGAGCAGTGCTCTTAACTACCTGATCAGGCAGGATCCAGTCCCCCACTTCTCAACCCTCAAATCAACTGGAAGACTTCTTACCAACACTACAGGCACTAACAGATACCCTTGGGGTAGCTGATGCCAGTAGTGTACAGTACAGTCTTCTCTTTTAAAGCAGCAGCCAAAATCAACATACTTCACTACAATTCAATTTAACATATAGAATACATTTGTTTAAAATTCCACCTGAACTGCAATGTTAGAACAAAATTAGATGCCTTAAAATAAAGTACTGTTATATTCAGATTCAGGCTGCTGAGGGGCAAAGTTATATTTATCAGAGGCACCTAACACAGAGCAGCATCTCTGTACCTTTCGGCTACAGAACATCACAATTTGTGTGCATTCTCAGTGCTCTCTGTGGCTGAATCTGCATTATTTCTACAAATCATACATAAAAATGGAACATTTAGAGAGCATGTAATCAATTCTACTGGAATGTTGACAAGATGATATAGAACAATGTTACAGAGTGTGTAAGTCATCCTCTGCATTAAATCTTTGTGTACCTAAAAGACAATGTAGCACAAATAAGCCCTAAAAAATATGCAGAGGTCAGATTCTGCTAATAACATGTATCTGTGACTTCAGGTATAGTCAGCTGTGCCATTTAGTCTCAAATTAAACTACATACAAAGGCCTAAGTAAAATCCTTGTGTTTTCTTATAGTCACATAATTTTGAATACACATCCCCATTAACTATAATCAGTAAGAAAAAAAGATGAGATAAAGAAGAATGTCAACAAAAGCAAGAACCACATTTTTACCTGATCAGCTGTGGTCTCAGAAGGAATTACTAGTACAATATCTCCTCGTTTTAAATTAAGCTCATCACTGTTAGCTGCCTCAAAATCATGCAGAACTTCAACCTAAAGAAAAAAACACCACACATATTGAAGACATTTTCTTAACAAAATTACTTGTTAAATCTGGACTGAAAAAAAAAAAAATTAGTCTTTATGCAAACATATGCCATAGACAAGTATATTTAAATTATCATAGAATCATGGAATGCTAACAGGTTGTAATGGACCTTAAAAATCATCTAGTCCCAACCTCTCCTGCCATGGGCAGGGACAATCCCCTACACCAGGTTGCTCAAGGCCTTATCCAGCCTGGCTTTGAACACTGCCAGGGCTGGGGCATCCACAACTTCCCTGGGCAACCTGTTCCACTGCCTCACCATCCTTGCAGTAAAAATTTCTCCCTATTATCTAATCCAAATTTTCCCTCCTTCAATTTGTTCCCATTACTCCTTGTCCTACAATAAATTACAGTTCCTGATGAAGAGTCCCTCTCCAGCTTCCCTATAGGTCCCCTTCAAATACTGGAAGGTTGCCATGAGGTCTGCATGGAACCTTCTCTTCTCCAAGCTGAATAGCCCCAGTTTTCTCAGCCTGTGTTCAAGGTGGTGCTGTTCCAGTCCTCTTATCAACCCTGACCCTCCTCTGGATTTGTTCCAAAAATTCCATGTCCCTTCTTGCTGGGGACACCAGAACTGTATGCAGCACTCCAGGTGGGATCTCACAAGAACAGAATCACCTCCTTTGATCAGGCATAAATTGGTAATAAAGGCATTGATTCATGTCAGTTTTTTATGCACTTCCTTATAAGCAGGGACAACTTAAGGATAGTTTCCTTTTCTGATTACAAGATCTCAAGGATGGACGATAATGCAACATTCCACAAGTCCTGCCTGTTGGACAGGCCTGCCACTCTCATATTTCCCACGTAAGGAACTTCCTTCCATTCCCCATTATCATGAGATCTGCAAGAGGGGTGGCAAAATTTTACAAATAAAACTGAGAAATACTCTCAGAACTTTATATTCTCTCATTCTCTTGTCGTGGCCACTGTTGTATTACTCCTCTTGTGAATATCTATAAAAATTTGAGTCAGATATATAGTACCCATTGCAACAGATGACCAAAGAGGTAAGTAATGGGAACCCTAATTAATGATTGCCTTGGTAGGAACTCCCACTTACCAGCAGATGGGTATGCCAAAAATATCTGCCTTTCAAAGGGGTGAGCATTCAAACATTGGCAAGATCAGCATGTCATTGCAAACAGACCATTTTAAGTAAATGATTTTATCTCCTTAAAAGATAGCTAGCCTAATTTTCTCAAAGCACACACAGCTCCACAATAACTCTACAATTATGAAAGATAACTCTACAATTATGGAATTGGGAACCAGATTGCAAGCATATATTCTACTTCTCCTTCTCTATGTCTGACCCTAGAGACTGAGATTAAAAGCAAAAGATTAACTATGTCAGCATGTTTGAGTTGCATGATAGTGTTTACCTTTACCCTAGTGTTATCCACAAAGTTTGCAGAAAATATTGAGTAATGAGAATAGACCAAAAAGAATGGCATACTTAGAGAGTGCTATGGGACTAATTAGTTGGAACTATGCAAATTATAGTAGGAAGTATGTAAAGTTCATCCTTCCTCAAGGAGATTTTCTGCTGCTCAGTGATTCAAAATGAAAAGTAATTTCAAAGAACCTTGTGAACCAGGAAACCCTGGTGGTTTTGCCAGGCAAGGGAAGAACTTCTCTTATGCCTCATTAAATTTTTCTGTTTGAATTACCCTAATAGTTTATATTATTACTAAAGTTACTGAATGACATTTTGGCTTCAATGTATTTCAATAGAATCAGTACTCCCACTATAGATTTTCAGGCCAGAAAAAAAGCCATTTTTTAATGATCATAGAATTATAGAAGAGTTTGGGTTTGCAAGGGACCTTAGAGATCAAATATATTAGCATATTAGATGTATAATTAGAATATATCAACAATATTACTGATTACTATGTGGCAGTGCAGTTTTATTCAATATATTAATTTTCAGCAGTAATTTGGTGAGATTCAAGGGTTTTTGTACTTCAATTAATCTTACAGCTACACAGGATATGCCCAACAACAAGCATGCAGAAAATGTATCTTCTGAGATTTTATTTATGAAGCAACAACACAATATTACACTTGTAGTTGCGTATATTTGTGCATGTGTGTGACTGATAAACTAAGAATACTTTGCCCTTAACAAATCATGACACTAATGTGCAGACAAGACACATCCACAGAAGCTAGGGATATCTAGAAGAAGAATGGAGAAGCAGACCTTATAGAGAAAACCAGGTGGCATTGCTGAAGCTGCATCTTCTGCTGGAGCAGGCTGATCCTGAGAAAGTACAGCCTGGATTTCTTCAGCAGGTTTCTGATCATTTCCAGACTGGGAAATTTCACTGAGAGAAGTGTCAGTGACCTGAGCGCCCATCTCTGCTGTGGCATCTCTGGACTCATTCATGGTGACTTCATGTTCTCCCTCCCCCTCGTTGTTTGATGCTGGATCTATTACTACTGAAGGGATGCTGCTGATCTTTTCCTGGGGAAAAAAAAATAAAAAACAAACCCCCCACAGAAAAGAAATACAAAACTATTTAGTACTTTATTTCAAACAGGAAAACACTATTGTTTGTTTATTGCAGAGGGCATATATGGGGTTGAAAATTTTTTTTTTCTCTTCCATGAATTCTTAAGACAGAAAACAGTATTTGTGCAAGAATGTCAAGGAATAATCCCCTCCCTGTTATCACTGCTCCCCTTAGTCCTCCTAAACCTACTTTACACATTACTACACTAATAATAAAAAATATTTATAGTCAGCTTGGGCTTAATTTTCAGTGTTCATGGAAATTACTAGACCTTTTTCCTTCACTCTGCTCTCTAGTTTTGGCAGGTTTGAGTGAAGCCAGTAGTTCCAGTAGTCACTGTACTGTTTTTATTTGGAAATGGAAGTCAGCAGGATAATAGTGGTAGAAGGTGATGAAAGAAGGAAATACGACCTATTTCTCTGACTGAAGGGATCTCTCCTGATTTATAACAATGTAACAGGGTACAGAGAAAGCAAAAAAAAAAAAATCTAAGTAGCATCTGACCAATCTGGGATCCCAGTTAAAAAAGCATTTAACAAAACTTGTTGTAGGACCCAACCTGAAAAAAAACATGTTCACTGATCCTCTTCCAGACCATCTTATCCTGGAGCACAGATGAAATATAATATGCAATTAAATCTGGCAACTGGCTGCCCGGCTACAGGGTCTGCTCTAGCAGGTGTTTGCCAGCTCCTCAGAGGTTGTGAGGAAAAGGCAGCAGGCCAGATATGGATACATGGCTTGACTGCCATGACTTACAGGAAACAAAGTAATGCTATTGATAGGACATGGTGTCAGAATTTAAGAGAAATCCAATTGTTTCTCTGCCTATTTTTCCAGAAAGCCCTGTTATCTTATGTGATAAATGTTATCTCCACAGAGGAGCACAGGGAGACAACAGTGGGGGATAACCCAAACAATGTGCTGCCATGCTGCTCACAGGACCATGAGAGGGCCATCAACTCCCATCTCCACAAGCCTAGGGGAGTACAGAGACACAAAGGCAGGCACAACCCAAAGTAAGGACTTAGAAGAAAGGATACCCTGTGTGAGATCTTCCTAGGGCCATCCCAAGAGAACATAAATCTTGCTACTGGTTGAAGCTAGGGGCACAGGACTGCAGTAGCCTTGCCTCTCTCGGGCTGCTTAATCTGTCCTGATTCCCCTAACACACTCTCCCATGAACTGACATGAGTTACCTGAGACATATCAGCCTCTTTTTCTTCTCCCTGAGGTTTGTCTCCTTCAGCAATATCCTCCTGCTCAGCGGTGGCAGCTCCTGCTGCCACAGCTGCACTATCTTCTGATGCTGCAATCCTCTCACCAACAGGTACCAGCTAAAAACAACAGAAGAGAGGGAACTTTCAGGATATGAGTTACAGATACTTGCTGGAGAGAACATGGGACAGGCTCTGCTCTGTGACCTCCCTGTGTGATGCTGACCTATGGTCTTGAGTTCACTGGTGTTCCTCTTGATTTATGGAGAAGAGCAGTGCTGGGGACAAGCTTGCTCAGAAAAACTGATTAAAAGGTGGGAGAGAGACATTTATGAAACCTCACCAGGCAACATTTAGCAGAGTCCTCAGGTGTTATGAGTAACTGTTTGTCAAAGCTGTTTTCCTTCCCTTGTCTTCCAGCTGTATTGTGGAAGAAATTTACCACTGGTTTCCGCAGAGGAGGAGGAGCTTGTCTAGAGGCCCCCAGGACCCTGCTAATGGAATCTGTTCTTGGGAAGAGCCTTCAAGTCTTCTCTAGCTAGTTACCTACTTCACCACAGACCTTGCCTGGCTTCAAGTATCTTGTACTATTAGTTACACATTCCTTTCTAACAGAGGGACTTACAAATCAGGTCACATCAGAAGTAAATATATTCTACATCTGGTTAAGTATCAGAAAAAAAAAAAAAAAAAACCTACAAAGATTTATAGTTATCTCAGTATAGAAAGATACATAAAGGCCTATTCAGTCTTTGACTGAATAATTTCTGATCAGTCGGTGTTGAAAAGTTAATACATGATTTATTCTGACTCGTGAAAAGTGCACAGAAGAGTACCTGCCTACTACTAGATCAATGTTTAATCCCTCACCAGCAGAAACTGTTACTTGTTATTGTGGGTAACTCGAAAGGTTATTGTATTCCATGTCTGTCTGCTCCCCAAATTACTTACAATTAATTAATCTTAGGTTTGGACATTTGAAGGTAAATGACAAAGCTCATTGTTTTAATCTAATTAACTTCAAGACAGAATTTTTACCTTACAGCAGATGGTTCAAAGATAAAGTAAAAACACTGAAGGAAAACTCTTTTCGAGGTACCAATGTCAAGCCACAGTTAGCAGTAATCTCTCTGATCTCCAGTGAACAGTCTGATGCTATTCATTTCCACAGTTTGATCTTTCCCCTGTGGATGAAGCTAACTTCACTACCTAAATTCAGTAACTGTTCAAGGACACTTGTTCAGGTCTTGTTTTTAAGCAACATTAAATATTCACCACTATTCCTATTTGCTGCTATTAATTGGTATGATAAAGAAATCCTCCTGGAATCCATGAAGACAGAAAATACTGTATGGATTTATAAAAGCACTGGGGAACTTACATTTAAATTGAAACTGCTGCTGCTGAAGCATGCTCTATTGTAAGAGGAAATAACATCAACAGACAAGGTCAGATGTTGACATTTTCTCCTATAAGTCATGCAAGCCTGCCACTCATATAGTATTACCAATTTTAGAGTCCTGATCCAAGAAGATACACAAATAAATGATGAATGTTGCCTGGAAGAGGCTAGTAGGAAAGAGTGGGAATAGAGTGCACAACAGATTGATTTGACACCATGCATTTCTAAGAGTATGCTGCAGAAATTGGGTCTTGCTGTCTATTCTGAGCTTTTTCTGCTTATTGGATTTGTATGGACCATTTCATTTTACTAAGGAGGAGAATACTAATTTACATGAATTGGTTCACAAATGCCCACACTGATAGGATGACACTCACAGCATGCAGTCAGGAGTCACTAAATGTATACCACAGTTCACAGTTCCTTTTTCTTGTGTCTTAGAGTACAAAACCAATAAAAGCTAGATGATTAAAAAAAGCTTTTATAGAAAGGCATATGAGGTAGCGTAGAATGAACCTCACTATCAGTCTCAAATATCTGATTAGTACAGAAGAGAAAAAAAAAGGGCGGGAACTTGAATTCATAACCAGCTGTGTTGAACCACATCCTTGCAGATGCAGCTACTTGTATTACCTTACTTCACATTGAAAACCAATCCTACAGATCTCTTTCATATAGGTAATTAATAACATTAGGCAGTCTAACAGTATTCAAAATTAGCTCTCTCTAGCAGTATTATTGAAATTACACCAAGCACACAGGGGCAAAAGAAAGGATCATCTAGTATCATGAGGGGTGTGATAGAACCACTCAACTGTTTTAATTGCACAGATGTGAATTTTTCTTTAGCCAGGATGCAGCTTATCCACACAGTTGTACTCTCATTAACATTCCTGTCAGCTCAACACAATATTGCCAGATATTCAGCAGTAGCAATAATGAGCCCAGGAAGAGGAAAAGGGGTACCAAGCCTGTTGCTGAGGTCTGCCAGAGGCGCTCCCTCTGATACACTTGTTGTCCAGAGGTGAAGTTTTTGCCTTATGGCTGGATTTAGAACAGAAATTGGTAATTTTTATGACAGTTGGTTATAATCAGCTAAGCTATCAAATGTCAAGAGAGACAAATCATCAAGCTTTAGAGAATACATCAGTTGCAAAGTCTTGGAAAATTCTGAAGTACTACTGAATAATTTGTTAACCAAATTACTGAGTATCAAAGGGACCATGGTCCATTAACAGTCAAATACTGGCTTAGCAAATAACTTTATCTCTTGTGGCAGCTCTTCTGCACATTGTTTTAAACAGCTGTTTTAAACCAAATATGGGCAAATTCACTCTCAGATGAGAGAGTGAACAAGTAGTATTAGAATAAAGGGGTAAGGTTTCAAAGATTTAGCCTTGGTGCTAGCACAACTGTGAAGCATTTCTTGCACATTTCTTCTTGAACCAGACTTGTCGGGAGTGACAAGGCAATGCTGGAGGAACAACACAACACTCTCTTTGCACTGAGTCCACACCAAGCTGGGCTTGATCTGCCACTCCCACTCTGCACTTTCTTCCAATGCAATTCCATTGGCTTCCATGTGGATGTGGCAGTGCTGTGGCATGTGTGGTGAGGAATACAGCACCAGTGAGTCCCAAATTCACTTCCAAGTGACACTGGTATGCCCTACAGCTACAGATATAGCCTTGGCTCTAGCAGACCTAATGCACTTTTACAGCAGGACAATGAACCTAAGCCTGGACAGCTGAACTTAGCAAGTTCTGAAACCAGTTCATTACCTTTTTGTATATATCAAGGCACCAAAATGAGTAACAACAACAACCACAAAAAAAAAAAAAAAAAAAAAAAAAAAAAAAAAACCAAACCAAAAAAAAACCAAAAAAACCACCAAACTGGTTTCTAGCACCTTGAGATACAAATCCTCAGTGATTAGTAACTCGAAGTTATTTCCCAGTCCCTATTTCTGTTCATGAGTTTAATATGCAGCCAATCCTCTTGTGCTGTCCTCTGTGCATGTTTGAATACATTGCAGTTTCACTTTAGAATACAAGGATTCAGAGTAAGTACTTTTATCACTCCTAAAAAAATATAAGCAATATGCAATCATTCAAGTCCACCTATGTACAGCCTAAAGTATATCACCGAGCTTTAATTTGCTTTGTAATTTGACTTTAACTGTATCTAATAATGTCAGACTATGCTTTAGCAAACCAACTCATAACATGATTATTTCCAAGTATCTGTTTTAGCTCAGGGCATGTTGTGCTAGGAAAAATAAATTATTAATCATAGGGCTTTTTTATAAAGAAATTTACAAAAAGGCTAGGCAAACAAATATACAGAAATTTGTAAAAGCTACTTGGAATCTATGCAGCATATTTCCAAATGTCAGTAGAAACAGAATTATACCTCCTTTAGCTGGGGAGCTGCTTTGTTGCCCTGAAATATTTATCACTTTATACTGCTGCAACAGGCAGTTTCTAAGATAAATCCTGCATTGAATGAGAGGTTATATGTTAGAATATATACCATGGGTGCAGATATATCTGTGCAGTGCTAGACTTAAGATACCACAGCTAGGTCACAGTTGCATGGTATTAGCCTGTCTATTGATGACATGCAAATGACAAATTTTTTGTAATGGTTGAAAATATTAAAGCACAACCATACTCAAGTCTGTTCATATGTACCTCGCTTTCCTTCTCAGCAACTCCAGTTGTCTCCTTATCTCCTGCCTCGACATTCTCCTGTATAAAAAGGAAATATGGTCATCACCTTAGACATGCTGAAGCAATGGCTGCAGAGAAATTGGTATTGATCAAGCTAATGGAAGCATGCCATGTATGGGATGCAATGGCTAAATGAGCTAGTATATATTGCCCCATATAATCTGAAATAGAAGTACTTGTGTGCTAAAACAAACCCTTTACATACGTTATCATCATCACACTGGAACTATTAAGGACAATTTAACTTACTTTTACTACTAGTATTTTCATAACAGCACCAGCTTTGAAGAATTGTTTAGTAAGCAACCTTGCAGTTTGCACCAAGTTCAAATTTCTCCCACTGGTCACTCAAACTGTTTCCATTATCACCTGCTACTCCTCCTGTAATTCACCAGGGCCTCAGTGTAAACTTCATGAAATACTACTTCCACTCATGTTAGACTGCAGCTCATTTAAAGATCACCCCAAAAGATGTGGGTCACAAAGTTCAAGGTTCTTTTTGGGGTTGTTTTTTTTGTGGGTTTTTTTTTTTTTTTTTTTTTTTTTTTTTTTTTTTTTTTTTTTTTTTTTTTTTTTTTTTTTTTTTTTTTTTTCTGAATCACCTTACTTTGGGTCCATATTCAGTGGTACATGCAGCAGGAGCCTGACATTAAAAAAGTTAGACATCAGTGGTTTTCCAAATCTGACACCCATTTAGGTTCAAACAATTGAATGCACTGACCAGTACCAAGCTCCTCCCAAACAGTACTTGTGACCAGCACCAGGTCCTTTTCTACAAAAGGTCAATAGTCAAAACCATAAAAATTCAGGTTTGGTGTAGAATATGTAGAATAGTTGGAAGTGCTTTTTTAGCTATTAAGGTTTGACTTTCTGCAGACATGGCTATTTCTGAAGACACTCTGCTAAGCAAAACCAAGACAAAGCCCCATTATGGAAATCAATTTTGCTAATAAATTTTAAGACAGCTAGGTCAGATATTTCTACAGAGCAGTAAGGGTGAAGAGAAGTTCTGCAAGCATACTTGGGGGCATGGTATATTGGAATGCCTGCTTTGGCAGTCAGAAGCCAGGAAACCTCACATACTCCGGCTCCAGCTACCTGCCTTCACACACACAACTGTCATGCCAAAATTCCTTAAAGTTTCAGCTGAAATGGTTGCATATTTCTTTTTTAATAAAAAAGAATGGTGAATGCAAACTTCATATCACTCTTTTTTTTCCTACTCTAACCTAGCATTGCTCGCAGTCAGTTGTAAGCACTGAACATGCCCAGAGGTCAGGACAGAGCAGCTGCTGACAGTAGTGTTGCCAAAGAAACCTCTTACAGCCTTATCCCTGTTAAAATTGCAATATTATATAACCTTTTAAAAATTATTAATTCTTTATTTTTTTAAGCTGTCAAGCCTCTACTGTGTGGTCTTCAATTTTTAGGAAGTTTGAGGAGGCTGTAAATGGTCTTAAATAGAAAAAAAAAAATATCAGCAGCGAAATATAAATATTTCACACTCTAATAATGCATGTATGCACAGAACCACCTAGAGAATTTTTTTTCTAGAGCAGAGCAAACTGTTGCCCATAAAAACATTATATCCAACTGCAAGTCAGTACACAGACGACTTCCCAACTTGTTCTATTAAAAAGTACTGAATTTCTGCCAGCAGCTGTATTTACAATTTGCCTTCAGAAATTAGTATAATCTTGCACTTCAAAGTCGGGAATGTGTTGGCATTTTTCATTTTCTTAGTAATTCCCTGGCAATATTCTCTGGTGAGAATTCCATCAGCCTAGCTTTGAGTATCTTTGTAGAATGATTTAATATATACATATGCATACTTTCAAATAAGAACTGTTTTCTTATTAACTAAAAGCACAATTTTGTTTGGAAAGGTGAAAGTAAGGAGAGCTTCTTTTATTTCCAAAGCTTGAGCTTGAGCTTTCCTGTAGCTAACTTGATTATTGTGTACTAGTCAATTTAGTACCATTTTGCTTTTCTGATTAGCTGGAAGTTGCAATTTTGTGGATAATGGAGTTTGAGAAGAGAGGCATGATAAACCGTATCACTTTTAGAGCATGAAACCCTAGTAAAAAGGATGACTGGAATAATACTTGGAAACTAACACCCTGGTTCTAGAGAGAAAAATCTGCTTCTGGAGGCTCCAACAGAAAGACACTATTCTGTATCAGTTGTCTCCTGTAAAAGAGAGTCATATATTTTTAATGGCCTTATGCTCCCATTCTTCACCTGCACTTAGCTTCATGCTCAGAATCTGGGCACAGCTGACTGCTCTTCTGTATCTAACCATTGTATTACTCTCCCAAACTACACATTCCACCATTTGGGCACTGTGAATTGTACCTAAAGTGAGACTGAACCCTAATTAGATACACTTGGTTGCAGGCTGTTCCCTGGCCTCTGCTGTACTCACTCTGTCTGCAAAAAGCTTATCAGGAGGTAGCTTCACATATGCTTATATACTACTCTGAAAACCACAGTATTTAGCTGAGCATCTGACTGCTTTGATGGGAGAACATCGGAGGCCAGGCAGGCATCAGACCCAAAGCACTGAGAAGCTCTTTCCATACTAATAAGTGCAGTGGAAGTAGAAAAGCTGATCTTCAAATACTATGTCTCACATGCAGGAAAAGAAGGGAAATAACAACATTTCATAAGCATTCTTTTTATTATGATGTCCTCATGACATCTTTGCTTGAATGTGAAAAAATTGATGTGGTGAGAGGGGCAGTATTACTTGAAAAAGAAATAAGCCAGTGGTTAAGGCATTATATCCTTCAGACTATCCTTTAGATTTATAGCTGCTTTTGGGGATGCTTTAGAAACACAAAAAACAACTCCGTGTGGAGAATTCCATGCATAAACTGTTTACCATGGTTAACTTCTGTTGGCACACATGGTCATACTGTCCCTTTAATTACCATTTTATCCCTCCCCCTAAAAAGATCAACTGTTGATAGCTACTAACAAAAACTTTATTTGTTCTATGGCACTGGAGATCTGAAGGACCAAGACATACAAAGAGATCCTAGGCAAAAATTCTGATGAGCTCTTCTAGTGAAGTTTTGCCAATCTTGATCAGGCAGACTATGAAACAGTAAATAACTGAATCTAAAATGCCCATACGGGCAAGTAATACCCTATCCCCTGGACCATTCTATCCATAATTTAAATGAACACCCTACCAGAAAATTTACTGTGAAGTTCCTATAATGAGGGATCTATGCCATAAATTTTCTGGGTTAATGGGATGTGACCGGAAACTTACCACAGAAAAACTCAACTGAAGACTGGCTGTCATTCAAAACTGGAAGCAACTAAACTCAATAAAATATTCCCAATTAAGTACCATCTATTAATATTTTACAATTCTACTTTTAAAGGAAACTGTCACTCATAAAGCAAATGACTGTAGAAGTGCTGCTGAGAAATGACATGTTTTCATCTTTTGCAATTCAGTGTAGTTTTCCTTAGCTTTGAACATATTTGTCATTAATACCAATCTTCAAAACTCCTCTTTGCATGTCTCGGAAAATTCTCTCTGAAATAAAAACCTTTCAGAAACAAATGCAGTCACTACATTTCAGGCATTTTTAAAATCAACACTTTGCTTTTTTTCCCAAATTAGTAAGGACAACATAATTTTGAATTAGCAACAAAGCACCAAGACCAAGCCTAATTAAAACTGTTTAACTTCTATTTAATGCCTACCCTCCTCCTCTCGGATTGCTCTTAAATTGTCTGTCTCTTGCATTGTTTATCTCTGGCTCTCTTCCAATAGCTCTGCACTCCTGTGACTCAGCCAGAGCAGCTGACTACAGACCACAGACCCAGAACTCCTCAGCAGCAAAATGGATCAACTGAAAAGGTCATGCTGGCCAGCAAGCAAAGGCATGGTACTGCAGAGACTGTTTAATTAGTGCTTAAGATGTGCAACAGGCTTCAGAGAATTGCTTTGTCTTAAAGCAAGACAAAAATGTTTCCTTTTGGAAAAATGGGAAACTTCTTTCACATTTTTTTTTTTCAAAATAAAACCACTTTTCTGGCTTCATTAATATCTGTTCTTCCACATTATTCCCCACCATGCACTCATGGGAAGAGAAAAGCTCCAGATCAATGACCAATTTTCCATTCCTTCTCTCTCCACCTTCCCTCCCACTTTCTTTATTCCAAACTATCACATTTACATGAGGCATTTTTATCAACAGTCTGGCAAAACAATGTGCCTCAGTTAGGTAATTTCATTTTTTGCCTTCCTATAGAGCTGACAATATGAACTGAAAACACATAGAAGGGGAGAGCCTGGTCTACACAAACCATGAAGCTCTCTTCACCTAGTTATGTTAGTAGAAGGGGATGATCCTGAAATAATTTCCTCCAGTGTGAACCATGGAACCAAACAAAAGCGAATTAAAATATGAAACAAATACTCAGAGTTCATGCACGTGTAATCAGAACTAAACCTAATTGTAGTTCTGGGGAAGACACCGTGACTGCTTCCCTCCATATGTCCAATGCCACTAGGCGTCCTCAGAGGATGGGTAAGGTTAGACAGAGCCAGGTGTTATCTGCCCTTTCCCCCAAAGTCCTGCAGAACAGCCCGTCTAGTCCTGCCTAACTCTCCTCGCACAATAAATTATTTTTCCTCTGTTAGGAAGAACTCAGTAGCTTGATACCTGATGATTAGATATCTATCCATGCTCTCTGCTGCCACATTTATAGGTGCATCTACAGATACTTCCAATTTCTTCAGCTAATTTGCATCTACATTAGCGTAATATTGATATCCATATGGCAGTGTATCAAGCACTTACCAAAAACCATCTAATTTTATGGTCATTTGGGTATCATCATCCCTGCTTAGCAGCAGAAGACACACAGGGTCTCCCCCAAGTCCAAGTGCAGCTCAGTAGCTTAAACCTTCCCTTCTAAGAGCACTTATAACACCAAACTGTGCTTGACAGACAAAGAGCACAGTTATATATCTTCCACCAGCTTCTGTGTGACACACAAAACACTCCCCTTTTTCCATCCAGTTTTTCCAGTAGTAATCTTCATATTCTACTAGCAACTCATTAGAGCCTTTTAATATGTTACTGTCTTCAGGAAAACAGATGCTGTTTTCCTCCAGGGTTTCTCAGCCTGTTGGTATCATCCACCACCAAGACCACCTGATACTAGTGTGTACGAGAGGAACTTCAGTTGGACAAAAAGAATATGCACTGAGATACCTGTATCAAAAGGGATGCTAGTCAGCAGAAAAACTCCGTGCCTACTGTCTCAGACCACCCCTTAATTTGCAGTGATACTGGATGTCTTGCTTTGTTCCTCATGCAGAGGAATTTCTTCTTCATTTCCTGAATTCTAACATGTAAAAAGTCTCCCAACTGGTGTTCAGAGTCCTCTCTTTGGCTCACAACTGGCATCTAAACCTGTGAGCCTTATAGACCTACTACAATAACTTTGTAATGGAATTTTCCTGCTGTAATAAGGATCATACAAGATGTACATTAGCTTAGTGCTTGAAATGAAAGGAGAAACTTGCTAATAACATCATTTAAAAACGGCATCAATTCTTTCCCATTCTGAAATTCATTGGGCATCAAACAACTTGTGAAATCACAACCACTAAGACAAACTTGAGCCTAAGATGCCCAAAGTAAGAGGAATGACATTTTAGGGCTGAAAGGGGCACATGCTGGAGAGGCATGCTGTGACACAGTGGGCAGCAGAGAAACTAGCCATGGAGGATGGCAGTGGAAAGGATGGCTGAAATGCAGCAAGCACATTCACCAGAACAAAATGTGGCTCCGATGAGGCCCCAGAGGTGGCATGGAGGACAGGTCACTCACCACAGCCTGCTCTGCTGGCTCAGCAGGGACGGCCTCCTTTTCCACAACAGCAGCAGCAGCAGCAGGGGTTTCCTCAACCTTAGGTTCCCCAGGTGGAGTTTCTTCAGCCTCAGTCTTTTGTTATTGATTTTTAAGCAGATAGTGGAAAAATTGTTGAGGAGCATATGATGTTGGGGAGGAAGAGGGAGAAAGGGAACTGTGCCTGGCACAGTGTTGCTTCAGGCTCAGTCTTGCCAGGCTTTGTCCCCAATAAAAGACAGCATGTAAAGGGCATTTTCATCATCAATGTACTCTATGTAAAATGAGTCAGTCCTACATGCCTCCCTCACAAGGAAAGTTTCCTGAGTTACAGTGAGAAGTAATGAAGTAGGGGAAAGCACCCAGTTAGCTCAAAAATGCTCCAGAAACTGCTGGCAAGGCCAGAAATTGAAACTGGCACCCATGTGTACCAACCCTGGTCTTCAAACATGAGTTTTAAAAATTACCTCCTCCTCCCTGTCTCTGTCTATTCTCAGACAATATACCCTCCTCCAGTGAGGGTAAGCAGCAATGAACAGAGAATGAAACTCAAACAGTTTTTATATGCACAAACAACGACTGATTGAATACTAGCAATGAATGCTAGCAATGACCTCTGCTTTTTTATTAACATGCATTCTCTCTTGAGCTCTTAATCACCTACAAGGCACTTATTTATCAACCTACTATTGCGATTTCCACCCTTTTAAATTCTGGCCTCAGCTTGTTTTTCAACAAGAGTATCTATGAAATATCACCAGACCTGCAACACGTTCAGTCTTGTGGCAAAATAGCTCACAGCAGAAGTGTGATCTCCAATAGAGACATTACTCTGCAAATACATGCACCTAACAAGGCAAGAGCTCCAAGCTATGCTTAGCATATTTGATTTATAAAGATGGGTGACTCAACCAGACATCATAACCCCAATCGATTAATTTGCCATGAACAAATTGTTCAGCATAATATGAAGATCAAAAGCAATTGCTTTGAAGTTGATAACAGGTCGCTGGCTAGAATTGGGATCCCCTGTGATGAAGAGACAGCTTCTGTGAAATTCTTTAGCATCTTAAAGACCTTCTCCTCCTGATATTTTTCAGGAAAAAAAAAAACCATAGACTCTCAACTCTTTGCATATATTCCTTAAGCAGTCTGATTTTTAATGAGGTACAGAGAAGTCAGTCTATGCAAGACCTTTAGTATTTGGCAGAGCATTAAGGAGCATTCACTTGTATATTATACAATACTGTGCAAAAATTTCTCAGTGTAGTGCATTAATGACAGCTCTAGAGACTTTCATAAGAAGAAACAGAATTGAAATGAGAAAAATAAAGTAGATTTATCCCAGGTGATGTTTTTCCTGACATTTAATACTGGAAGATTCTTTCAGACTTAAAATCATAAGTAACATAAAGCAGACTACATTGGTGTGCTTCAAGTCACTTGTTGAAAAGCATACTTCAGATAAGTTACCACATTGCAACTATGAGTAAAACTACTCTCACAATATTCAGTAACCATCATGAGCACAAACACCACATTAAATAACATAAAATATCACCCTGCTGCTAGTAAGTAACTATAGCATTCACCCAGCAATGCTGTTATTCTCATCCTTGTTCCAGGCTAAGCAAAGACTTTTAAGAGGAGCTAAGAAACTGCCCAGGTATGATCACTTCCAAGAAGATTGTGCCCTCCTTAGAAGTAGACTGTGCCCACTATTAATATGGAGGTGAGTAGATAAAATTACAGCAATTTTGGAGATATGTAACTGCCATCACATACTATCAGGTCCTTGCTGTACACTGGACCATAGTACTCATTCTAGTAATTTCTTAAATGCAGTAAGTGAACAAAATGACTACACCTTTATAAAATAAACATACCTTACAACGTTCTGGTTTTCTTTTCTTTTGCTCTGTGCTATACTTGTGAAAGATTGTTTCAGTGAGCATGGATTTAAAACTAAAATGGTATCATCAGGTCTTCCAAATGGAAGAATTGCATAAGGTGGTGTTATTTAAAGGAAAAAAAAAAAAAAAAAAAAAAAAGTGAAAATATCTTTGCAAAAAGGAAAACTTGTATCCTTTTTAACAAGACATTTTAAAAGGAACTAAAAGCCACAACTTACCAAAGGCTCTTCCACATTCTCATTTGATTGCACTGTAAATGCAGGGATATCCTAGACACAGAAATGAAAAACAATGTAAAAATATTTGAGACAGTATATTTACAGGTGTCCATCAAAGACCTGATTTTTCAATGGTTTATTCAGGTACAATCACTAAGTACATTTACATAGAAAAAGATGGCAAATAAATGTAACTAAGAATTATTTTTATATTTATTTAATAATCTGAGTACCATTATTTTTTCAGTTTTATATTCAATGTTTTTAAACCAACATTTTTTACCTCACTAAAGGTAGCAAATACATGTAATTCACACCCTTCATTAAATACATGTGATTCACAAGGACTTCATTTAAAATGCAATGCACTTCTGGAATTCTGAATCTTTTTTGTAGATTACACATGGCTGTGCCTGGAGAGTACGCCAGCTCTAAGGTACCTTTTTCTTGATCCTGGACTTTTATTTTAATAATAACTATAGCAATTACAAATACAAATTTTTACCTAAATTCAGTAGAAAAATAGAGGTGCTTCCCAACACCTCACTCACTCAAACCAATTAATTTGCACAATATTGCTGGGCCAAATTGTTTTTCTACCACAGAGGAGAGAGAAAATATGTGTTTTCTCCAGCTAAACATTTTGCCTTAATTATTAGATCCTTGTGCTTTGCCCTTTCCATCTGGATCCTTTACTAGACTATATGTCCTGGAACAGAATGGTTAATCATTGGAAGACTAATTTCATCCTTGTGTAAGCTGAGCCTTTTTGAGTACATTTAAAATTTGGTGTACAGGGTGTGCTGTGGTAGAGCCAGTCTGTAAGGGAATGCTGGAAAACAACAAAGCCCCAGGTAATCCACCTTAAATTTGGGATCTTGACACAGCCCTGGAATCTGAAAGCTGGACACAGTGTCTTTATGTGCTGTATCTCTGTGATGCATACCACAGACTCACCATCAGCACCACAGCAGATAAATAACTTAGGTTAAACTTTGAGAGTAAAATGTATATTAACTGAAAATGAAGAAAAAAATAAAATTCACTACATATTTACACACAGAGTTACTGAAAATAGGTGAAACTGAAAATGTGCTTTACAGGATTTTGGGATTGTGAGAAATATAATCCACAAAGGAGCACAATAAAAAAGCTAGACCAGCCATTTTAGGGGAAAATAGCTGTCCCATCAAAGTAGTCAGATTTTTTGCTTTAGACTCAGTCAGGCCAAGAGTCCTGAGGGCATTAGAATCTTTCTAGCAACATCTAAGAATTTCTGACAACAGACAAGGTTAGGATTTGAGACAATATCCTGTTGCAATGCAGCTTGTCTATAGAACAGATTTCCTGAATTTGTATAGCCAGTTCTAGTACCTTCCTAATAGCACAGAAAAAAATTATCTCAAAACCAGTTTATTTCTTACCTGTGCAAATCCATTAAATGCTGTGGTGGATGCCTAAGTAGAAGTGAAGATCAGAACAAATTATCATTTGTTTACTAAATCCGAACATGAATTAAAACATTTTTATTTTTCAAAATAAATGTAGGCCAGACATAAAAAAAAAAGGAACAAAAAAGAAAAAAAGAGAGGAAAAAAATGAAGGGTAAGGCAGCAATAAATTTTTACAACAGTGGTATTTGATAACAAACATCACAGGCTTAAAGAAAATGACAAAAAGAAAAAGCAGAGTACCTTAAATATTTAAAATAACCAATAATTAAAAAAAAGACCAGGTACATTTAAGGATCTACAGATAAAACACAAAAGCTGCCAGACACAACGTGTCTTCACAGTTCAATGCTGCATTCACCATATTGAAATGCATTTTTGTCAGCCTGCTTGAAGGGCTGAAGGGTACCACACCATGAAGAGTTGCATGGCAATTTTTCAAAAAAAGAATAGCATGGACTTAGGAAGGGCAGTAGGAAACACACAAATGGAATGTTTTTAAAGAACAAGCTTATGCATGGCCTAAGGAACTCTTTGTCTAGACTACGCTACACACTGGGGTAGGTACCTCTTCTTTATCAGCCTCAATTTCCTGGTACAACAATCCATATCTCCGGTTAGCAATTTCATCTTCAGATAAATCTGAGTTGTTGGTCTCATTGTCTTTAGGACTAGTTGAACTCTCGGTGCTAGCATTTCTGGAATTTCCCATTTGAAACAGAGACAAGGGTCTAGCTATCTCCCTGCTCGGTCCAGGATTGCTAATGCTTGCCTGCTCCCCAGGCAAACCTTGTTTTACTAGTGTTTCCTGAATTATGTGGCCTGTGCTTGCACCTACTTCCCCCCAGGTATTATCAGTAGTTTCTAGGTCTTCTGTAGACCATTTATTACTAATGCCTAACCAAACATTTTCCATGTCACCTTCCTCTGAGTTCTGCTGCTTGGAGAAAAAGGGCCAATTATCCAGTCCATTGGCTTGGCTATCAGACAGACTAGAAAAACCCCAGGAATCATTAGTAACTGTTGGATCCCAGTTTGCCAGCCAGGGCTCTGTTTCCAAGGCTTCAGGGACACCACTGCTAATCACTTCAGGGACTGCTGTTGCTGTCCTACCTGTCACTTGGTTATCTGCATTATCTAGGCAAAGATTATCACAGCTTGTGCTAGCAGCATCAGCTGCCTTGGGCAGCAATGCCCACTGTTTTTCAGCAGCAGATTGACCTTCAGTACCAGTACTACCATTTGGGAGGTGGCTGATGCTATTATCTTCGGTTCCTTTACCAGACTCTTCCACACTCAATAATTCAGCACCACATAGATCACTTCCAGAATCTGAAGGGTACTTTACTGTGTGGTCAGTTATCTCTAGGTCAACATGTGCCCTCATGTTTACACACTCCATGGATGTACTCTGTGCAGTACCACTGTCAGTTTGATCTAAGGCCTCCTCAAATGTATTTTCATGGTGCTCATCCCAGATACCAGGGACTCTCTCAGGTTCAGAGCCAGTGCTTTCTATAGTCTTACAGTTGTATGCCCCTATTTTGTCCCCACTTTCCAGCCCTGTGCTCAACGATGGTATTTCTCTATCTGTCTCCTCAAGGACATTGACCTGTTTGAATTCTTCTTCTGTAGAGTTTTCTAGGGTAGCACCACCAGCTCTCCCAGTATCCCCATAATTATCTTCAAACTCATGTAAATTTTCTACCTCTGAGCTGGCTAAAATTTCAAGATCTGATTTTGCTAAACTGTTATGAAATTCTGCCTCACTGTTTCCTTTGGTTTCAAAACCTTGCTCTTCCAGTTCCTCTGTACCTTCTACCTCCTTATAGTTAGCTCCAGTCTCTACCTTTTCACTTGGCTTGACACCTGCCCACTCGTCTTCCTCACGCTCTTCCTCTGCCTTTTGCACATCACATGGGAGAGGTTCATCCAACAAGCTATCAGTTCCCAGGATAGGTGCCTCAAAACTGGTTACGTTCTCTAAAGGCTGATTGGTCACCACATCTTTCCACACGACACTTTTGGCATCCAACTGGTCCTCCAGTGAAGTCCTCTGGTTTTCGCTTACAGAAGCTGACCCTGATGGAGCATCCTCCTGCTCACCTACTGCAGGCCAAACATTAGCAGGCAGAGTACCCGTGGATTCGCTTGAGGTTTGCTCTGCACTGGGGAAAAGCAAAGAACTGCCTCCAGTAATTTCCTGGCTGATACTGGGTGTGCTAACATCTAGGCCCCAGTTGAGTGAACCTAGATCAGTTTGAGATCTGTTAATATCTTCTGATGACACACTGTTTGGGGTTTCCTCCATGATCAGGTTACACAGGGAAAGACTTTTTGAAGAATCAGGCTTTAAGCAGACAGAAAAGCAAAGAAAAAACACAAGATGAAATAGATAAAGGCGGACTTGATGAGAAAACACAACATTTATCTTTTACAAGAGCAATTTTAATCTAAAGAATGAAGTGACTACATTAAGCAATTTTAGGAAAAGCTATGTGATTTGCAACATCTGAAGGCAATAAATTGTAATGCAAAAAAGCAGCACTGATACACAAAACCAGAAAACTATGCCTATTACACCACAGCAATTAAAGAAGTCTCTAAAGTGCTTGTGATTTTGGGAGGAAGTTTGCTTACCGGCTGCACCAATTCGCTGCTTGTCTGTATAGAATGAAGTCATACACATAAAAAACAGAAAGGAAGAATGTTATTTACTTTGATACAGCAGCAGTTCATTAATTAGCAGCTCTCTAACCAGCTGCAGTTACCAAATCAGAGTGGGGAAGGAGTAGCAGATCCTTTCCCACCACTCCACCCAAGACTAATTCCAGGCCTGTGAATTTCAAACCTCTGAATTACATTACAAAATAAGTTCTTTATGTATGTTGAATATTGATCACCTCTTGCTTTCCCCTGTGAGTCACCAACATTTTTATTTCAAATGTTTAGCTATGAAGTATGGGTTATTTCATGTGGTCCAGATATTTGCAGCCTTGAAATTTTGGCTAGCCTACATACATGAGTGTTATTATCAAGCTTTATTTAACCTCACTCAATATAAGGACATACACATTTAATATACATTCTATGTAGAATGTGAAAAAAACTGTGCTGTGAATCTGAATACATGACAAGCATTCACAGATTTCTGTACTGGGTGAAGCTACAAAAGGTCAAACATTAACATATCAGGCTCCATATCAAGTCAACCCAGCTAACTCCATTACATACAGTCAAAAGAAAGCTCACAAAAATGGGTTGTTTTCTTCCTGCAGATCATTTTATCTGATTTGGCACCAGGAGGAAGAAGGAAGGCGTTTGCTATAGTGGCGTTTGCTTTTGTGAATAACTCCAGTTCACTGTATTGCCCATAAAGACAAGCTAAATTCTGTCTTTACTCCTAATTTTGAGAAAACGGTTGTCCATTGGGTTAATGGGCACCTTCAGGTATTTAAAATAAGTGACTTATATCCATTATTACCTTTTAATAGGTGTACTTTGGGCATATTAAAAGCAACATGCTTAGCTGTAGTGATTATGAATCTTTTAGCCTAGATTTCTGACATCATTTAGGTTTTGTAGGCTAAACAACAGAGATTATTTTTTGTTATTGTTAGTTTTAAAAGATACCCAGTGGCTTCATATTCATATACTTGAAAGAATTTTTTGATGGTCTGTGAATTCTTAATCTCGACTTTTGGTAAAAGAATTGTAAATCTGAGTTTAAGTTACAAAATCAGAGGCATAGAAATACTGTTATGTATGTCAGGCTTACCGTCCATAGATCCCATGGCAATGTCTGGAAAAAGTAGTGAAAAAGAGAGCTTGTCAGAAAAATACCATTCCTGTACTGTATGTCCAACATGCTACATAACAATGCCCATTAAATAAGAAGAGAGAACTTATTTATATGCATGCTTATAGTACATACATACTTTATATATTAGCACATGTCCACGTGTGTATGTCTCTGTATGTACCTGCATAATACTTTTGGTTATAAAAGATGGGAAGAATGCAATGCATTTTGGTATTTCCCACTTCAAAGTAGTTGTTGCTTTTCAGCAAACTCACATGGCTGTATGCATGAGTAATGGCCAGGTTCAGAACTGGGGACTGAGTGACTTTCAAAAGGAAAACAACCCCCGGGAAGGGGCAACCTTAAAAAACCTAAAAAAGTGGGGCCCCCCAACCAAGTAAAAAAGAAAAAACCAACCACTGAGAATAAGTGGGCTTCCTCACAACACTGATACTAGAAAGGAAAATGGCATACTATTAGGGAAAGGAAATAAGAAAGTTGACCAATATTTTCTTTTTCTTGTCCAGCCTGTTAATAAATGCTAGTGAACTCCTAACAGAAGAGCTAAACAGACAAATTAATGAAAAGCAGCAGACTTCATGCCAAATATTTAGAGCCTACCACATGAGAGGGAACTCTGCTGGTTCATATCAAAAGAGAACAGAACCCAACAGGTCTAGAAAGGTCCCTACTAATGCAGCCATATAAACAGCAAAGCAATTGAAGGAAGGACAGACCAGGGCTCACCTACTGTGGTGGGATCACCCTGGCAGAGCAGTGGAGGGAGGGAATTTATTAAATTAACAACAGACAAGTAATGCCAGGCCTTCCAAGGCATCATGCACAGGTGACTACTCCTGTCTTCACATCACTACTTCACCTGTTTGCTGAATGGAAAGTACCCATGACTGCAGCAAGAACTATACACATATGGAAATACCATTTAAGTCTCTCTTCTTAATCTCCCTGCAAGCACAGGGCTCTGCAGCCACAGGTTTCATTCTCTCTATACTGTCATAGTAATGACCCTGTCAACTCCAGTGAGAAAAAGACCCAGGCTGCAGGGCTGTCTTCCCTCCTAAAATCACGGTGTTCTGACTAATCCACAGCTCTTGTAGATGTGGGCCATCCTTTCTCATATGTCTTTGTTCTGCAGAAAGGTGAAAGGAGTGAGTAAAGGTGGTCAGTGAATGCTTCCTATGCCCCAAATGAAAAGTTACTATGTAACTTTTTTAACACAAATTTTCTACACAGGATTATATTCTGTATTTAATGGTATAGTTGAATATAAAATAACATCTTCACTAAAGTAATAAACTTTTCTACAATCTGTACAATATGATATCAGAACAAATATGTTTTGTCATAAAAGTTAAGTATCTTTTGTTTAATGATTCTACTGCTCTAATAAGCATTATTACAAAACAAGATGAAAGAATAGTTAGCAAAATCCAGCTTAGTCTTTTCTGTCACTGCTGAATTCTATTGAATGGCATTTGCCTTCCACTTCCTTTTCTCTGTTTAGAGGGAGAAAAAACATAACAAGTAAAATGCACAAAGCTTCTGCTAGAATGGAACACTTCTCATAGGAAATCTCAATGAGAAAATTCAGCTAATGTTCAGAGTGTTGACAGTGTATCATTTTTATGACAGCACATACCCTGTCAAAGATCAATATAGATCTCATTACATAACTAGGGCTTCACACTGAATAAGAAATTAATTAACTGAGGTAGAGATCAGCAGAGAATCAGGACCATCTCAGCCTTAAAGCTTCTTGTCCCAGCGCTGCATTTCTGAACAGCTGATAAGTCTTTTGATGTCTCACAGAACAAGCCAGAATAATGATAACTCTTGCTAACAGTGTATTAACAATGCTTCTTTGTGTACAAAACAGGGATACAGACATGCTGGCCACAAGATCTTCCCTACTTTGCTACCTGCCCTATGGGTAGTGAGGGTAAATTCTAGATTTTAAAATAGCATGTCCTGTAGGATAAACCAATGAATATCAGCAACTTGATATATTAGCATTTTCTTTTTTTTTTAGTTTTCATATTTTTTTTTCATATTGCTGCAAAAAACCACCATTACAAATATTAATATTAAATGCAGACTTTCAATAACACAACATTCTACAAGAAAGCACCCTATTCCATACTCTAATTTTCCTTGACGTTAGGTCTAAAATAGATTAGTAGCAAAATCACTCAGATCATACCACTGATTGATACAGAAACTCCATCACAGTAAAGCAACTGCACACTGACTCCAGGAGACCTAGGTCCCCTAAGGCATCTTTCCAGACATGAAGAATCAAAGGTCAGAAAAGTTGTCAGAAAAACAAGCACTGGAGAATAATAATATTTACACTAAGAGTTATTCTAACGATGGAAAATAACAGCTTGCTAAAGTCAAGGCCAAGGTACCAGCAACCATTCTCATTAGCAGACATCTCATTTTACCACCTAACGATTTCCTCTCCCTTCCAATACATCATCAAGTACATGGCTACTGATGAGGAAGACAGAAGGCTGACTTGTGCTTCTCAGGAAGATAAGGTTTTTCAGATACTTCTTGTTAATACATGAGGCAAACCTTTTCTACCAAACAGAGTATATTGCATTCATATGCTTTGACTATGTCAAGGTGAAGAGATACCTGAGACATGGGTGAATGACTAACTCCTGTTGATACAGCTTCTGGCTTGAAAGGGTCGAAGTCCAAATCCAGTAATGATTCCTCTTTCTTAGCTTCAGGTACTTCATTCTTTTAGAAGAGAAATACAGCTCTTGAAAAACTTATCTTTTAAAAACTGACCTGAGCAGTAGAATATTAAAATAATCAAGAAAAAAAACAGAACATCCCACAGATTTACTAGCTGTGATGCACACCAGAAGGGGCAGAAACTCTAAAGATTTTCTTGAGCTTTAGTACAAGTTTTACTTTTATGAGATTCACTCTTATGATGTCTTTGGTTTCTCTGTAGTAGAGCTTTGTCTTTTCAGGCTAAAGAGTCACAGCCCTATGAAAGAAGTGTTGAGTGTGCATCACATGATGGTGAAGGCCCTTTTAAAGTGCTTTGTGACATACATCAAAGTTACAAACTACATAAATTAACACCCAATGTCCATACATTCTAGTAAGTTAGTCTCTCCCCAAACACAAACATTAGTAAAAAGCCAATACAGAAGGATCTAAACACATTTGAATTAAGTTTTAATTCTTAACATGTATACCAATTTACAATTAATACTGTCTTTAGCTCTAAACTTTAGCAAACATCTGATAGTAGGGCACCGGAAGGTTGCCCAGTAAGATTGCACACTAGAAGGCTGCCAAGTAAGGTTGCCCAGAGTAGTCATGGATGTTCCATCCCTAAAAGTGTTCAAAGCCAGGATGGATGGGACTGTGAGCAACCTGGTCTAGTGAGAGCTATCCCTGTCCATGGCAGGGATCTTTGGGATAGATGCTCTTTAAGGTCTCTTTCAACCAAAACCATGTTATGATTCTATGATATGCTCTTCTTAAACCAGATTATATGGTAGAGTCTTTTTGCTTTGCAATTAATAAATTACACAAGGCTTCTGAGGTCACTATAAAAATATACACACATATATATGTTCAATGGGCTACAGGTCTTTTTTGCTATAAATTAACCTGAGAAAACTATTAGTGTGTTTCAACATAAAATTCTAATTAGTGTGAAACTATAGCTGAGATTTAATTATCATTAATTGTAAATAATCCAGGCAAGCTTCTTGGTCTTGCTAACAAGTACTGCCTGCTTCTAGTTGTTCAATGAAACGGTGAGAGAGGTTGTAAGACTGAGCAAGTTTACTGCAATGTAGCATGTATAAATCCAGTAAAACTAGATAATAATAATAATGATGATAAAAATTATAGTAAAATAAATGAGCAAAGATTTCCGTTATTAAAACATTTAAGAGTAGAAACGTTCCAAATTACTGTCACTATTGGTAAACAGATGTTCAAAGTTAGGTAATTAATGGTTTCCATTATGCCACAAAATACCTTAACTCTCTGTGTCACCTGCAAACATGGTCAAAAGAGCTCCTCAGCTGCCATTCTAGGGATGACAGAGTGGCCTAGAATTCTTCAGTCTAGGTGCTAGGGGTGATGTGAGAAGGGGTGATGTCTCTACCAGTGTGAGAGGCCTCAGAGGTTTGGCTACTCCCTGATTCTTCAGGGAGACAGCAAAGTACTTCGCAGCAAAGTTGATAGGGGCAAATATAAAATAAAGAAGTGGTGCTGCTCCATGCAGCACAGGGTCCAGCTGGGGACCTTCTTAGATTCTGGTAGTGTGACTGTGAAAAATGTACACATGCTGAAAGACTGAATAAATTTGTGGCAAAGCAGTCTGCTGAGGCTTACTAAATAGGTAGAAATGATGTTGAGGAAGCCCCAGAGCAGCAAATGAATGGAGGCTAAGAGACTCTAGTAGAAGAGGGTGTCAGAAGTACCAACACTGCTTTCCTTGATTTATCTTCTTTCTTTGGCCTTCTGGCATCACTGCTGATGAGAGATAGCCGGTCTGATACACTGAAGCCAGTGTTACAGTCTCACACTTTAAAAAGTCAAATCCATCGCTCCCACCAGTAACCAATATTATGTTCATTCTCTGTTGCCTTCCATCGAGTGTATTTAGATTTCATCAACACATGATCTTGAGGCACTAATACTTGTATGGTCATACAACTTGATGAAATAACAGCATTTGCTGCCATATAATCAGAATTGGATGGAGACATAAAATTATCTCCTTTCACTGAGGTTTGAGAATGAAGTTGCTACCTTTGGGGACGGAATCAAATTAACAGGAGTCTTACTTAGGCCATAGACTAGACAAGGTATTGGAAGTGACAGGGTACTGATCACTGATAGCAAAAGTAACCTGTGCCCCTCAGACCAAAATGAAGTGAAAACTCAACTTTAGTGACAAAGACCCAAATAAACATACTGAGTACCTAAGATACCACATTAAAGGGAGATGCAGGAGAAAGAGCAACCTCAGAAAATCCTTCAGTAAGGGACAAATCTATGACAAGAAGGCTCATGCTCCTAGAGTAATTAATACCTATGAAGTCAGGGTACAGTAATGCAAAAGATCTGCCATCTCCCTTCAGAAAGAGTGCCTACCAGCACCTGCATTCTGGGAGTAGCCTTTAATTTTTTAATTGCATGGAGACTTAATTATAAATAGATTATCTTAGATCAACTCTCAGCATGTAATGCAACCTTGATGCATTTAAATCTCAAACATGACTGTATCACAGTATTTTCAGTCACACCTCCCAGGAAATTGCTCTTTTTTTCAATATATTAGTAGTGTTAGCCCTTTTGAGTGATTATGTGTGACCTATTCAAAGGCAAAACACCATATGTGTAACTCTTTCAAGATAACAGAAAGTAATAATTGTGCCTCTGCCTTGTACCTTCACCCTCCTCCTCCCTCCCCATGAAGATCAGCCCCCAGGGCACTATCTTGGAGAACTTAGGGTGATTACACAGTTGGACCTCTAAACAATTCACTAAAGCTTACCTGTGATGGGGTTGTCACATTGATTTCTGGGACAAAGTTGTCATCAAATAAGTTAATGATGTTCTCCTGTTGCAACTCCTTTGTGGGCGTGAGTTTAGGCAGTGGTGGGACTGGCGGACCTTTCCTCAGCTAGGCAGACAGCAAAAATGTCACAGACTAATTCACGGATAAAAGAAAATCTTTAAGCTAGACCTAAGCAAATTGTCTTAGATTTTTACTTTGGCTGTTTCACCCCAAATAAGCCTTGGGAATAAGCCATGTGTTGAATGGAACTGTTCAGCTGCTTACCACCAAGTACTTGGAAATAAATACTATGGGAAGAGCAGAACAACCCTATGTTTCAAAGTCATTAAAACTCAAGGTTTCAGATTTGATACAAAACAACTCTTGGTCGGTTTTTTTTTTCTGCTGCAACAGGCACACAGCGCAAAACACTAGCTCTTCAATGCAGCCCACAACTGGAAGGGTGATACTGCACAGAAACAATGCCTCTGCAGCTTTTTGGCTTCTTGAGTTCATTTGTGTTTACCTTTGGCATTTTGTCACTGCCCACCTGCTACTAGCCTTAGAGTGTACTTGATGCTAAAACCATATAATCTCTGGGACCTACAGCACTTCAAAGGTGCTTAATTCACTATATTCCTCCTGCTCTCCAGAGATTCACATAACTATGACAAACTAATTGCTTGGAATAATACCAAATAGTATTGGATAATTTTTAAATCTATCAAAAACCCAAGAAAATAAATACATTTAGAAAATCATCAGGTGGTATAGTGATCTAACACCACTGGCACCAATGAGGCTGAATCCTACCAGGTGAATATTCAGGCAGTGAGTTGTCACATTTTGGGAGACCAGAGAAAATAAGCATGCTTACTAGATAAAAAATTAATTTTCTTCTGATGTGCAGACAGCATAGAAACAGCAATCAGCACATAAGCTATCCCAATTCCAAAAACATCCAGAATATCAACACAAGTCTTTGATATGCACATGAAGCATCATGTACAACTCATGCTACAGACAGAGCTGATGAATGAAATCAATTCTTATTCTACCAATACGAGTGAGAATATAAATTACTCCCTTGATTATAAGTGTCAAACTTCCCAGTGTTGAGAACAACCAATAAGACTTTAATGATCAGTAACTTGCTAATTACTGCAGTATTTCAGCTAGCTTTATTTTTCTCTGTTTTAGAGATTGGCCAGATCAGTGATACTCACTGGCTAATTTTTCCCAAAGTAAGCATAAATTTGAAGATGAATGAAGAGCAGAAATATATAATGTACAAAAATTCATAAGGAGGTTTCTAAATAGGCTTTTCAAACTACCATTGCTGGTATATGTCCCTTTAGAGACAGCAACTTTTCAAGAAATGTTTTGCTTTCTCACTGCAAGCCCCACCAATTCACCAGGCACCCAACATTTTCTTCATTTTCCTAATATAAAAACCATTTTCTTCTATTCATGTTGTGACACAGGGATGAACAACTGATGAACAGAACAGACTGCAACAGAACCAGTAGCCTCCCTGCCACTAGTCAGTCACAGCCTAATGAAAAATCCACCACGTACATCATCTCAGCTATCTATCACTGCACAACAGGTCAGGTCCCTCTGCTAGGCATCTCCTTACCTGTGTAGGTGACTTGGGTCGGGCTGGTGCCGGAGACGCTGGTGCCAGCATATGATTGGGACTAGCAGTAGGGCTAGGTAGGGGAGAGGCCTCCTCTGGTGGTGATGGTGTTTTTGCAAAGCGGAGTGGACCTGAATCACTAGACAGAAGCAAAGGCATGGCAAGGACATATATATCTTGCTGACTTGTTACCTTGAAAATCACATGCAACATCTGATGCATCCTTGATATAATGTCAGTGACCAAAAAGAGAGTACACACTAGAGATGTACAAAGCCATTATATAGTGACTAAAACTACAATTGCAATTAAAACCAATTAAAATTCAGTGTCTAAGGAAGCTTTAATTTTGAATGATCTTGATTTTTGGAACATCTGTTCACCTGATCATTGTAACTTGAAGAAAACAAGAATACTTGCATTTCTTCAGATTCTATACTTGAAATACCATTTCACTTATAAATTGATAACTATTTTATAAATTTATAACTATTATAAAATGTGAAATGCATTTACTCTCTTCATTTCACATGTTTCTCAGAATAGAACACTCTGAAGATGAAAAAACCCACAGGAAGGCATAACAATGAATACTGCAAATAATTTTAAAACTCAGCAACTCCAGAAAGGTTTCAATAAAGAAAAACACAGCCAAGATTATTATAAAAGTATCACTATTTGGAAGGACAAATCACAACAATTATAAACAAGCAGCAGTCTAGCGACTTCAACAGAGCTCTGCCGATACTAAGAAAAGATCTGATGAAGTCGTAGAAAGCATATGCCCTTCCCATGAAAGGACCTGGTGCAAACACTGAGAAAATATTCAGCTAAATATGCTGAAAGCTTACAACAAAGGAGGCTATGAACTACAGTACTCAACAACCACAGTATTCAGTAGAAGCGACTCCTACACATCCTCAGGGAGAGCAGAAGCACTACCTGACTGAGACCACAGCATAAACATGATCCTAATGCTAACACAAGAAAAACTGTTCTTTGGAAGGACAAACTTAGCTCACACTCACCACCTCTTTCTGTGGAAATATTAAAAAAGAAAAAATAAGCAGTCATTAAGAAATTTATGTTCCAGGGTACAATATTTCCCTTCAGGACAGAGAATTAGGTACCACACAAGTTCTTAAGATATTTCTTTTTATGCAGTTATTTAAAAGAAAGATCAGATATTGTACTTGTCTAGTATCCACTTCTCATGCATGTAAAATGGAAAGCTGTTTTATCTCATGAAGCCTCACTTATGAGTCTTTTAGAGTATCATCACTAATACAGGAAGTCAAAATCTATCCAGATATTCACACAAGACTCTGCAAACAGGACAGCAAAAGACAGTAACAAAGTAACTGAAAAAAGGGATTTTTAGAAAGCTTTTTTAAAGTAAGCTCACACTACATTAAATGACACTAGTATTTTGCAGCAAACATAACTTTGTTTCATAATTTTTTTCTCCCAATGATGGAACAAATAATTCAGTGGGAACAAGCATGTGCATGTTGGACATGGTCTGAAAGACACAGGTGGACAAAATACCTGTTGTTTACAAAATGTACTTGCAATCTTACAGCACTACATTATTTTACATCACATAAAAGTGTTTTACAAATCCTTTATGGGAACATAGTCCATGTGAGTCCATTCTAAATGGGCCAAAGTTAACAGCTCCGAAGACAATATGTAATATGGATTATCACTGAAATAATCTAAAATACAAATCCTAGTGATGTGCTTAAAAAGTAGTTCTGAAAAAATTTCAGATTTCATTCTTTGTTCTTTGTTCTTCCAAAGTGAGATTAAAACAAATGAGAAATATCTTCCATCTTTTTGAGGCAGATGTTAGGTTGTTTGGTTAGCCTTAATCTACCTCCATCTTGAAGGCAAATTAGCAGCAACTACATGAGGAACCACTTTAATTTTTATTTATTCCTCAACACTATCTGGCTTTTGTCTTATAAACCAATTTCCTGACATTGGGTGGAAAACTTCTACATGGGCTGAGTCCTAACATGTGAAGGAAGTGGCTAGCACACATGAGGGAGTAGAGACCGCTGAAATTACAGTCCCTAAGTAGGCAACCCCTTTAGAGGATGGAGACTTCGCCTGACAGACAATCAGGGCAGACAAATCTCCCACGACTGGGCTGCAAGAGGCTGCAGACTGGGAAAGCCCTGCTGTCCAGGGCAATCCTCTGTCACAGTTTCTGAGCCGAGGGGCTCGTCTGGAGTTTTGCCTCGGCCGGCCTCTGCCCCCTGCGGTCCTTCTTCCCTGACTGTCTGCCCTGTCCTCATCTGTTCCATCTACTCTTCTAAGCTTCACTGCTTCATAGGTCTCAGATATAATATTTGCCTCGTTTGTGGTTGATTGTGTTCAATAAATCCATTAAAAAGAATCCCCTGCGGTTTCCCTTAGAATGGGATGTGAAAAGCTATATAACACTGTTCAGATTGCTTCTGACTAGTTTGGATTAAATGGAAATTCAGACTTTATATAGTAACTCTAAATATCATTGTGTCTTTATAAGTCTCACTGTTTTACATTTCAACCTTTTCTACACATCAATATTAGAAATAAAATTATGGCAGAAAGGCTACATTTGTTGAAAGTGAAAAATCAGAAATACTGTACTGGCATCCACTGACCTTTAGAAAGCACCATCTGATTTTAAACTCCCTTTGGTTTTGCACTTTAAAAAAAGATTTTGCTTGAAAGTCTTTAAAAATATGATATTTTGTGATATTCTCTTTATTTCAGCTTTTTTTGCTTTATGATGTACCCTCAGATCTTTACTTTTCCGCGTAAGTAGAAGAGATAAAAGCTGACATACAAAGTTTGGGATTCTGACTTAATAATAAGGGCTAAAACATATCTCAATATTTCAAGGCTTTAAACAAGTTATGAGAGTTATGAACACAGCTGTAAACTAAGCATCTAAGAATAAATGAGCTACACTCTTAGTTGGTGCAAATTGATGCAACAGTCTACAATGAACTTGGATAAACTGAAATTGCCTTCATTCTTTTTTTTTGTTTTTGAAAAGACTTTCTAGAAAAATAATCAGTGAAGAAGGAAATTTTTCATATTTACTCCTGTTGAGAAGAACCTAATCCCAGATACCTTCATCTACCATCCTGAACAAATAATGCCTGTTACCATGTGTAGGTGTTACACATGGTATAGGTGATTACTACATATGCTGAAACCCACAAAGCCTACAGCAATGCAATTCATTAAAAAGGCAATAAATTCACCTTGGTGCCCCTTGAATGGTGAAGGCCTTGTCTGCATGCTGATCCCCCAGCTTTGTCATCACTTCATATAGTTTGTGACATAACTGTGAAAACAAAACAGTTGCCTTAGTTTATATGAATAACTATAGTAATGATTAAAAAGATAAATCTGGTTTGATAAATGATAACTCGATAACTTTATGTTACAGTATAAAACCTTCCAAAAGTTCTCAGTGCCATGTATAGCAAAAGCCTAATCAGAAACCCATCAAAATCCATAGAACCGAAGATAATAGCAGTTCTTAAAAAACATGAGTTGTTTTTTAGAGAACAAGTTCATAAGTATGGCTGACTGCTATGTAAGCTCTGACGAAGGAGGTCATCTGAAGTTTAAAGCAACATGGGCAGCCAAGAAGATCTGTGTTTTCCCCTGAAAAATCTAATCAAATTTTCAGAGCTTTGGTAAAGTGAGTTTTAAAAAAAATGTTGGTTCCCGTTTGATATAGATGATACGCTACTATTTAGCCAGGTACGTTCAAAAGATCCTCAGTGAAACTGCTTGATTTGCCTAACAGCCACAAATAAAATATTGCATTGCTGACAATGCAATATCAGACTTGAAGGGAATATCTGACATGTTTCTTTTCTACTGATTAAAGCAGAGAGGTGCTTAACAACTGGACACAGCAAAAATACTGATAGAAACAGTAAATTATCAAAGGAGAAAGTGAATTTAGTGCTACAACTGATAATGTGCTGCAATCCAAAATTGTAGGGGCTGCTCCTTCCTTAAGGAGAGAACGAATATGGCAAGTAGAAATGAAATATTATGATTATAGCACAAATCTGGATCTATGGCAAATTCTCATGTATGCCTCTGCTAGATTTTTACTATAAGGTATTTTTTATCTGTCATGCATATCATAATCCATTATACATGAGATAGTTTTACTCACTAAAGCTATTTCCTTGTGAAACTTGGCTTCAAGGCTGGATACATTTTTGAAGGTGTTCACATAGAAGCCAATTCGTCTACGAAGGATGGCAAAAAGAAAGGAAAAACAGAATAAAAGGTATGTGTGGGAGGGGCACAAAGGCAGATTAATTAACTGTTTTCTGGACTACAAACAATATTCTTGACTATTACTCTCAGCAAAGCAAATGACGAAATATCAAAATTTCAAACTAATTTGTTCGTGATTATTTCCATTAGTGTTAATATATGTATTTCACACCATTCATTCAACCAAGTTTAGACTACTTCACATCAGATGTCTTCAATTTTTTTAAAGAAGAGTGGAAAAGGATGGTCTCAACTACGGCACAAGCACAGGGAAGGCAAGATGCTCTGGGCTTCCCTCTCCTGCCAGACAGCACACGAGCATTTCTTGAAAGGAGAAAGGTACCATTCCAGCACTGTGAGCCCCTGTGCCCAAATCTTATCACAGCATCAAGGTGATGCAGTTGCATCGTGGGTCAGCTTTAATGTATACAGCTCAGTACAGCCCAAGCTTTGAAACACATGCACAAGAATATAAAAGAAAATAATTTAATATAGACTAGACATTTCTGTGCATGTAGTCAAGAATGTGCTTACTTGGGGTGAATTATTACATACTTACCCATTTCAAAAGTAGAAGATGTTTTCTTAGGTTTTGTTTTATTCTTTTTCATATTTAAAACTTCTATGTATAATTTCTCCCAATTTTGATTAACAAAAATTATCTTTGAAATAATAATAAGCCTGCAAAATGTCAACTTAATAAACAGCTTTTCCTGAAGAATTTTAATAACTAAAATAAACTACTCTGAAAGCAATTGCTTAGTAAATTATGCGTATTGCTCAAATTAAATTCAACCTTTCCCTGAGACTAGCTACTGCTTTTTATACAAAATTTACTGAAGTAAAAGGGCCCTCATGCTAAGTCATTCATATGCAGTTTTACTTTTAGTAGGCCCATAAAACAAATATCTCTAAGTGCTAAGAAGGTTTACACTGAAATAGGCAGAAACACAGCCAGGAAATCCTCTATTGGTCTGAAATCTAACAGGATTTAATTTAGAAAGCAGAGAAGACAAACAATACTTCACATTTTCACTCCAGATTGTCAGTTGTTAAAGAACTTAACACATTAATGAGACGCTTATTTTTCTACTGCTTTTGCTCTCCCATTCATATTGTCTGCATTTGCTGTATAAACACAATTCATGATTAAACATCTTGACTGAATGACCTATGCCATCAAATCATTTAACATCACAACAGTGCAAAACTATAAAATCTGTCTTCTGGTGTAGTTATAATAAAAAACGACTTATAAGTACACCCAAATCACCACAGACTACTCTGTGCTTTAAGCATAATTATATACTCACAAAATGGAAACCTTTTTGCACCTCAGAATGAAGATACACTAATGAATCTTAAGTGTCAACATACATGGAAAAAATAAGCATAAATACACTTACATTACATATATTTTTGGAGCACTTGCATACGTAAAGGTAATAGATGGAATCTTCAAGAATCCAGCAATCCATTTTCTGTCAGCTCATTAAAATTCCCTGATTCCCTGTCCTTACTCCCCATTTAAGGCCTTGCATACAACATCTCTCTAGGCTTACCGTGACCACAGAGATGGCAACTCTTCTTGCAAGTCAGTGTTAAACTCTTCGAACACTTTCTGTGCCTTTTGAAATTCTTCTTCTGCCTAAACCAAAATGAAACAGATTACTTCTAAAATCACTATGACATAACAAAACCAACATTATTTTTGTACTGTTTTCTTGGTGGGTCTTTTATAATTTTTATTAACAAAGGATGTTACTCAGTCTCACACCATGGAGGCCAATACAGGATTTGCTGTCCCCTCAGTCTCATCAAGAGACTAATGAAATCTTCAAGAGAGAAAATTAGGTCCCAAACAGGACTCAGTGAAAGATGCTGAGCCTGCCTATCACATGAACCAAAGTACTCAATACACATGTATGCTTAGAGATACCATTATTTCTAAGGGAGTAAAAGGAAGATAAATTTTATGCTCTATACAGAAAAAAATACCACCCAATCTCCCCAAGTTGTCTGCCAGCATGTTTCTGATTGCGCTACCTTGGTGATTCTGCCCTCATCTTTTCTTTTTGAGCTCTGCAGGGCTTCTAGATGATGCCTTGCACTGTCGTAGTCCACAAGCTTTCTGCTTCGTTTTGCAATGCGAGTCTGTACAGGGGTAGAAATGAAAGTAAATATGAGAAGCAGTTTTAAAAAAGCCATTTTATTTATGTTGTCAGTTTGGTTTATGACATACTTTTATACTGCCTTCTCTGTTCTTCATATCTGAATTATTATATCACGTAGGAGAAACATGGAAATGTTAAAAATTACAAACTAATCACATTATTTTAAATAAGAAATCAATTTACAAATAATTTGGAAAGGGTTTTCATGGGTATAGGGCTTAGAGTTGAGGTATCAGTGTTACATAAAACTTATCACATTTTCTAGAATCAGTGGACCTGTTAAACTCATGGTAACACTATCTTTTCCCCTTATAGATAGTGTAAAAACTCAGCAATTAATACATTTTTTCTAGAGTTGGAAAAATGTTAATATATACTTCCTTGTATAGTTGTTCTGACATGCACCTAAAATTCTGGAGTTGAAGATATAGATATACTTTGATATTGACTTTACAAATCTATATAATCCACATGCTGAGAGGGCATAATCACACCTCGATTTAGAGTGAGTTTAGGCCTATATATCAGTAATGTTGGTATTCTTAGATTATTTTTTCTTTAGTCCTTGATGTAAATTACAAACGGGATGACTGTGTGTTACCTGCTCAGTTATAAACACTCACAGAAAAAATGCAGTTATGCCCATATAGTCCTATTCAAAGTATCTCCTCTCACCTGCAGTGCTTCTTTATCCTCACACATTTCATTTAGCAGTCATTTTTCTGGACTGTACACTAGATGGGCATGTGCCAGAGGCTAGAATCTGTATAACACTCTCTTGTAATGTATATTACAAAATCTTTTTATAACTAATTAAAAGGCAGGAACCATGGCTTGGTACTCACGAGTGCATCTAGCCGATAACTGAAACTGCTTTCCATGTAATTTGTCTGGCATTAATGTGTTCTAATTGAAGTTGGTTAAAATTATCTCATACCAAAGAAACAGGAGCAGAAAAAAGCATAAAAGTTGCCTCTACAAAGGCTAATTTACTTCCATGTAAATACTACTTCCATACTGCTGCATGAAAAATATTTTTGTTCATTTGGAAAATCAGTCCTGCCTAATGTCAGGAATTTACTTATAGAACAATATATTGTACATTACAGGAGAGCATGATTTTCACCTCCCACCCTTTTTCATTTTTTTTGCTTGTAATCTCATTTTCAATTTATTTTGCAACTCAACAGAACTTTAAAACTTATTCTTTATAGAAAATCATTACTCTACTTTGATATCAGGAAATTGTCCTAGATATGTATCCAGTGTTAACAATGACCCATCCACCAGTTTTTGATGGAAGTCTTCCCAAAGTTCATCACATTTCTGAAAAGGCAGAAAGAAGAAAAATGCACTTAGTAGTTTAATGGCACTCTAAACATAGGAGAAATACAAATATAATTGGCAAAGATTAATCTTTTCAAGTTTTAAAATGTTCTTTATGAAAATGAATCACAGCATAAACATAAAGTGAATGAAAAGGAATACTCTGTTATTGCAAATTTAATTCACAACAAACTAAGATTAAACTTAATAATTAATTTATGTTTTCATTATTTCAAATAGTAAGTGCTATGTGAAAATAAGGATGTCATGGATTCATGATGCTCCTTGGGGTTTCAGGTCCCTGAGGGTCAGTAACACAGAATCTGAACCTGGCGGAGCTCGGAGCTCTTGTGTCTAAGTATATTCACTGATGATGAATCTTTCCATTTCATTCTTTTTGTGCCATTAAGGTACATTTGATGGAATAGTGGATGCAGACAAGAACTCTACCTTGTGCTGCTGGAGAACTGGAATGACATATAGGAAACATCTCAACATCAGCTGGCAAAATAAACAAAATCTGCACCCCACCACTCTCCACTGCCCTGAAGGTACAGTGCTTTTCCTCAGTCCCCTTTGGAGCTGAGGGCTAGTCGCCGGGAGAAACCCACTGTAGTTTTCTGATTTTCATGAACATATTAATGCAGCTCATGTGACAAGGACTCAGTGGGTAAGATTCCTTATTAGAAGCAAATCCTGTTACATAGACATAGTGCTTGAGGTTCCTGGATTCTCCACTGATCAAATCATTAGCACATGTTAAACATCCTGATTCCCCCTTCCTTTGCGCATTTCAAAAATCACTCCCCTTTGATGGGAGGGAGGTTGATAGGTGTAAGCACTGCTCTGCACGGCTGTTATCCTCACTGACAAGACTGGAAAACTGTGACATTATATGCAAGCTGGCTTGTATTGGGCAATTTGTCTAAGAAACCCAGCCGGTTCCATAAACCGGTCCCTGGGTTGACAGATAGGAACCTCAACCGATTACATTCCATCCTAAACTGCAGACATCTCCCTGGTCTGGGAGCTGGGCAGGATCAATGATCAGACCAATGAGCTATCCAGACTGGGTTTTCCAGGCCCCCTTTATAAAGAGGGGTCAAACAATAAACTCTCTCTACTGCCACATGGACATCAGAGTGTGTGTTGACCCTGTCTCTGACCTCAGACCCCACGAAACTCGTGGCCGTCCTGTGTAATAGAAGGCTATTCCAAGTGTTTGTTTTATCATAACCTACTATATGGCATATTATAAATGCTGTGTGATGCCAGCTTTCAGTTAATTCATTTCCTACTCTTAACAGAGTCCCTAATGAATGATTAGAATCTATTAAACATGTTTAAAAGAAATACCAAATTTATAACACAGCATTTAATCGCAGTGGTCTGCAAAGCATCACAGCATTAGCTCAAAGCGAACAACTGCCAGCCTTGTGTGTTTGCCTTTGTATCTTGCTGATACGTACTTTGAACAAATTATAATAATGGAGATTCTGAAAGCTAATGGACTCAAACAACATCGCTGCAGGACTCTTTAAGCCATCATCTTTCCTACCATACAGAATAAGGTCTTTTAAGTGGATCTCTTATGGAATGATCATTTATAACCTAAACTGAACAGACATATAGTTGTTTTTTACTTTAGGCTGAGCTCACAGAATTACAGAATCACAGAATCAACTAGGTTGAAAAGATCTTTGAGATCATCAAGTCTAACTTATGACCTAACACCACCTTATGAATTATAACATGGCACTAAGTGCCACATCCAGTCTTTTCTTAAACACTTCCAGAGATGGTAACACTACCACCTCCCTGGGCAGCTAACCAATGCCAAATCACACCTATGAAAAAATTCTTAATGTCCAGCCTAAACTTCCCCTGACATGGTTTAAAGCTGTGTCCTCTTGTCCTGTTCCTGGTTTCCTAGGAGAAAAGACTGACCCCCACTTGGCTACAACCTCTTTTCAGGCAATTGTAGCGAGTTAAAAGATCTCCCCTGAGCCTCTTTTTCTCCAGGCTAAACAACACAAGCTCCCTCAGCTGCTCCTCATAGGACTTTTGTTCCAGACACTTCACCAGCCTTGTCACCCTTCTCTGGATATGCTCCAGCATCTCAACATCCTTTCTAAATTGAAGGGTCCAGACCTGGACAGAGTAATCAAGTTGTGACCTCTCCAGTGCTGAGTCCAGGGGAAGAATCACTTCCCTGTTCTGCTGGCCACACTATTGCTGGTACAGGCCAGGATGCCGCTGGCTTTCTTGGCCACGTGGGCACACTGCTGGCTCAGGTTCAGTCTGTCATCAGTCAGTACCCCCAGGTCCCTTTCTGCCTGGCCTCCATCCAGCCTCTCTGTCCCCAGCCTGTAGCGCTGCAGGGGGTTATTGTGGCCAAAGTGCAGGACCTGGCACTTGTCTTGTTAAACCTCATATCATTGGAGTCATCCCATTGATCCAGCCAGGTTGCTCTGCAGAACACTCCTATCCTCCAGCAGATTGACACTGGCACCCATCTTGGTGTCATCTGCAAATCTGCTAATAGTAGACTCAATCCCTTCATCTAGATCATCAGTAAAGATCCTAAACAGGACTGGGCCCATACACAGATCCCTGGGGACACTACTAGTGATGGGCTACCAACTGGAGACAGCACCATTCACCACCACTCTCTGAGCCCAGCCATCCAGCCAGTTCTTAACACAGTGAAGTGTGCACTTGTCCAAGCTATGGACAGTTTTTCCAGGATAATTCCATGGGAGATGGTGTCAAAGGTTTTGCTCAGTCCAGGTAGACAACATTGACTGCCTTCACCACATCCACCAGGTGGATATCTTCCCCACCATGTCCAATAAAGAATGGAAGTTTTTCTTGGTCCTTCTTTTGATATTAATATATTTATAAAATAATTTTTTATTATCTTTTATAGAAGTGTCCAGGTTAAATTCTAACTGAGCTTTTGACACTCTAATTGATGCATAAATCTACCTTTGTGATTATGTACCAAAAAATATCAGGAGATTTTATAATATTGCCCATACATCTCTTATTAAGAACACACACCTAGAATTTATCTTTATATCTAACAGAGATTAATAGCTAAATGTTGATGCTTTCATACTCAACTACAAATTATTGAGAGTAAAATCTAATAGTCTACAGATAAAAGATAAGGTATTACAGCAAGATGCAGCATGAGATTTTCCTGCTGTTTAACATAAAACAATATAAAAAACCCTAAATCAATCAAACAAAAAAAATATGTATCTTAAATTAAGCAGTTTGGAATCTGGGTGCTTGTAAAATAAAAACCCTTTGCAGCAGGGAAGTGTAGGAGAACGCAACCATAGAGAAGAAAAGTAATCCATACATGGCACTGTAGTCGGGTTTACTGTTAACTTGCAAACTGAATGCCAGGTGATTAAAAGCTTCATTGACAACCAATTGCACTTTCTTGTCACCACCATCACATTTGCAGACAGACTTCCCCCAGAACTGAGACTCTTTAAGCGGGCAATTCAGAGCATCTAAAGTTAAATTCCTGCTGTGTTGTCTAGAAAAGCCTATTCTTCACTAATCACTGGAAGAAGCTAAAAAATAATAAAAAAAAAATAGTGTCCTGAACTCTAATTTGCCTTTAAATTCCATATTCTTCTCAGAGAGAGGTGAGTGTCTCATAAGATATCCTGTTTTAGTACCACTGGCTCAACAGTTGTTACATAGCACAACAGGATAAGCAGCTTTGATAATATTTTAACATTCTTTTGAGCTGAGAATCCTGACTATAAAATTGCATGTAAGATACCTTTGTACAAACTTGTCAGTCAAATGCTATCAGGCCCAATTTCGCTCACACTGGCATTATCTGAGTGGGAGCTTTTATCTGCTAGTTCATACAACAGGCACTGCAAGTGCTGCATCTGGCCAGCAGGAGCTGCATTTCACAAGATCCATAATTTATATGCTGAGAAAACAGGATTTAACATGACATGAAGGATTAAGGTCAATTAATTTTGGATGCACACCTCCACAACTGCTCAGATAAATCCATTTGCATCCAAAATACTTGTTCCCTCTTTCCATACATCTTACCTCTCCAATCATTTTCACATCTTCACGTCCATACCAGTCTGGCTCATACACTTCATGGAGAGACTCTGTAAGTTTCTTTGAGGCATCTTGCATTCCTGCAGTCAGACAGAAAGAGGAACATGTAAGTGCAAACTACAAGAAGTAGTTGCTAAATATCTTTATTTTCAGCCACATGTACCCACTATGCTATTCTCTCTGACAAATTTATAAAAGAGATCCCTAAACTTGGGGAGAGCACTGTAATGGACGTGGTTTTATGAAGAGTCTTGTATGGTCACCCAGAAGGTTTAGAGGTTTGTGGAGCCCAGTGCCTATTTATGTTTGCAACAGGGTGGCGTCTGCAGAGGATTGTGTGAAGCCAAACTGATGAATCACTTTTGAAGCTCTTGCTACCACAGGTGGAACAAGAACTGGGACTATTGACACTTATCACTCTGGTTTAAATGTAAAAGAGCTTCAATGACATTATGAGAATAATAATAAATCTATCTTCAGTGAGATCAGTTTGACCCCAATGAATAAATAAACACCTCAGTGAAGGCACTGGGGTTTGCATTTTGATACAACATGAATCCATTCAATTCTGAATATGGTTCTGAATCCAGTGAAACCAAACTCTTCTCATCTAACATTCTAAGAGTTCAGAATAAGTAATTTTAAAATGACAACTTTTATTTCAACTTATTTACAAAACCTCAATACTTGAATTTCTTACTTAGCATTAACTTTTTTTTCCTAAAAAAGCACATTTTTTTCCTAGTCAAAATTTGTTTTCTATCTAGAAAATATCTTTAAGTATGATCTTCAGATTTTACTGTTCAGTGAATGAATTTAGGAATAAAATCAATATTTTTGTTTTCTGCACAAAAAACATTCACAAGTGGAAAAGGAAAACCGATTTGAAACTTGAATGTGTAGAAGACCAGACTTGATCTAGTCAGTTGGTATTCCAACATGCACTCTCAAAAACACATGCTGTAAATATGACAGGAAAATAAATACAAGGAGGCACACTTCCTAAAAAGAAAATAGTAGTCTATGGAATAGATAGGATAGGAAAACAGATACTGAAAAAGATGAAAGTACATGCTTGTTCTCAGTCCTTGAGTACAAAAGTGAGAATACCTCTTAATTAATACGGGGGAGTACAAGTACAAAGGAAATACTGGTGTTTAGAGGGTACAAGCTTTCACTCTTGAATCAAAAGATACTGAGCCAAAACAGAACATCCGATCTCTTCAGTAATTTTCTTGGGGGTTGTTTTTAATGGCAGAGCTCATCTTAGACTATTAGGATAGCACAAGAATTAAGTTGTATTTCTTCCTTTTCTCCTTCTTAGGATTAATTTTCTCCTTCTTAGGTTAATTCTTAGGATAATGTATATCCAGCTAAGAAAGTGTTCTCCTGAATAAAAAGGATTTTTTTTTTGGTCTTAGAAGACACCAAATTACAATAAAATACAGATAATCTTCATGTATATTTTTAGGCAGGACTCATTTAAAATCTTTAAAACTGCTGCAAATGAATCAAGTCAAGAGATAAGGCAAAACCATCAGAGAATCTCTTTGCTTAACAAGGCTGCTTCTCTCCAATCAGGGTGAACGTACAAACCAGGAGGCTTTGCTCATCCCTGCTCACACTCGATCATTTCTGATACCTGAACTTCTGCCCTTAAGCACTCTGAGTGGTAAACCTGTGGCAGAGGTTCCTACAGCAGGCAGGCTAGCACAGCTGCTAGATAATCCCTCCTGCATCTTGCACTCATCTTGGTCACACCTTTTCCTAGACTTACTTAAGTACTACAGGACTCACGCATGTATCTGTTTAAGAGAATAAGTGAAACACACCTAATGTGCCATGAAAACTGCACCAACTTTTATACCTTTTTCTGTTCTGAGAATTGGATAATCATTCCACCACATTGCTGTAAAAAAACATCAGTCAAATCCAGCTGCAGTATCAGGCAAGTGGGCAGTAAAGTATTTGACTTTTTCAGTCAGGGGCTTCAATCTGAAATTTCTAGTCTAATATCATCCATCCTACTCCTTCTGACTGCATCTATACCAGGTTTACTGCAATACACCAAATGAGTGAAAAGGTAAATACCAATCCAGTGAATTCCTCTTACAGTGTCCAATGATTTTTTGTTTGGCAGGTTTTCACATAGAGTTATTCCTTACACATTGATACCTTTTATGTATTATTCAGCACACTAAATTTAAGAGGATTAGTATCTTAGTCATAGACTGCAGGCTCTCTCTTGGCTGTTTTTAACTGCTATCACTGAGAAAGATAAATTGTTAAAAGCAAATCATTAAAGTACTAAGAAATATGAAAAGTACTAAGAAACGTGAAAAGAATTTTTACTGCTGATGAATAGTTAGAAATTTACATTTAGTATCAATTGTTTCATTCAGTAGTACTTGTTGGTAATTGGGTCCTTTATTTAATAGCTAAAAGTGTCAAAGTATTTGAATCACTTAGGAAAAATGTTGCTAAATAATCCAGTTACTAAAGATTGAGCTTCTCAGATCAAATGATCCCTATTTCTAAGGGGAAAAGTCCCTGTCCCTGGGGCCTCCAAAAAATTCTAGAGGCCTCCTTGTGATAGGGATCCTGAGGGTGGCAGTGCAGAGACATTCCCATTAAGCACACCAGAGAAGGGGGAGGGTAGGCGACTCTTTACCATCACAGTTCCAATATACTCAAGCTCCCATGGAGAATGAGACAGACCTGGAACAGCATGTTGGCTGTAATATACTGTGGGGTCTCCTCACTTCCCTGCAGGGTAATCTAGCCTGAATGGTGAAGAAATTTCCATTTTCCTGATGGGGTGAGACATCTTGGTCTGGCTCTTAATATTACTTATGTGGTTCTTCAGGGAAATGATCTGCCCTGCCATAAGGGTTGTATTTGTTATTCCTAGTAACCTACTGGAGTTTCCTTTAGAACAAGTCAATAATTTCATTATTCATGAATAAATTTTGCAGAAAGAAGATTAATATTTTAATGGATTTTAAGAAATTACATGACTGATTTTAAGATTTCTGTGTCTGAAGGATATGGGCAGTTCTGTCAGCCACAGACTGACAACTAGGCAGCAGAACTGCTTACAGACCTGAAAAATCTCCCCTCCCCTTCCTGTACACCAGTTACTCTTTATCACTACATTAAACCACCTGAAGTGTATGGTGCTTTCTTTGCCTCATGCTGAACTACTTTTTACCTCTGTCACCTTGCCACCTGCATGAAGATCCATGTTTATTCTTCCCCATCTGCACTGGTACTTGCAAAGAGCTTGGGGTAGAAAATGGGTGACTGATTTAGGGTTTCTATAACAACTGAGCCCATAAAACCATTCAAATCCCTCACAGCTCTCAAAACCTGAAAAATAAATCATGAAGTATAAAACCCAGATATATACAAGGAGACTGAAGACACACAAGACTGAGGCATGAGATGACTAAAGCTACAGGGTTGGCACACAGTCTCATCAGTACAAACACCACTGATACATAGGAGACATTAAACTATCATGCAAGTGAAATAGAATGGCACATAAAAGCCATTCACAAGTTCAACAGCTTTATGACATGGTTCCTCTGAATTCTTGAATAACCAACAAGAAAGATCAAGGTCCAGCTAAGACTAAGAAGCATCAGTGATCAAGAGAAGGAGTCTGAATACAGCAAAAATTCTTTTAAGGATGTGTGATAACAAACCTCAAATTGTGAAGTAAATAAAAATGAAGGGACAGAGGGTCATAAGAAGGCTTAATTTACTCTTCCTTGCTTAAATCCTCACCTGTAGTATTGTGCCTACGTCTGGAGTCCACAACACAAGAAAGATGTGGACCTGTTAGAGTAGGTCCAGAAAGGCCACAAAGATGTTCAGAGAAATGGAGAACCTCTCCTACAAAGACAGATTCAGACAGCTGGGCTTGTTCAGCCTGGAGATAAGGCTCTGAGGAGACCTCCTTTTTGCTTGACAGTACTTAATGAGAGCTTATTGAAAAAGAGGGAGAGCAACTTTTTGCACAGGTGGTAGGACAAAGGGGTATGAATGGTTTGAAACTAGAAGAAGAGAGGTTTAGATTAGATGTGAGGAGGAAATTCTTTACTCAGAGGGTAGTGAAACACTGGAACAGGTAGCCCAAAGAAGTGGATGCCCCATCCTTGGAAGTGTTCAAGGTCAGGTTGGATGGGGCTCTGAGTAACCTGATCTAGTGAGTGGCATTCCTGACCATCGCAGGGAGATTTGAACTAGATAATCTATAAGGTCCCTCCCAACCCAGACCATTCTATGATTCTATGAAATCATGCCTGGATTTGTACTTCCTACTTCCAGTATCAAGTCACTCAGAAGTCATGCAGCAAAATGAAACTTATTACTGAAGTTAGGATCCCAAAACCCTTTAAAATGAACTGCTTCTCTCATACATCCAAGAGTATTAGGATGTCAATTGCATTATTTTTCAATAATTCCAATATATGTGATTATATGATTGACCTTTTTGCCTGCAAAATGAGCCCCTGATGACAGCATGATTCAAAGTCTCTGACATCTCTGACATGCGAAAATCCCACTCAAGTGCCTAAATATGAGGGTTACCATGTTTTTGTGCATAGATAACCTCAAAAATCTTTTAATGATAGCAGTCATTCAAAGAATTGCAACAAAGACACTGTAACAGGTGCTTCAGTCATCCAAAATCCGGTCTTTGGCACTACTGACCAAGTCATCTTTGAGGGAGCCTCAGCCAGACCTGTCTATTGTGCTCACCTGTCTTGGGTTGTCTGCTCACTCCACAGCAGCAATGTGTGTCAGCAGCAATGTGTGCCAAGGATGCCCACTGCTGGCTTGTCTTTGACATTTTTAAGGTTCTCATGAGAGCTTTTGACTGTATCTTTTTTAAGACATGTAGATAATAAGGTGCTAGCAAACACTTTTCATTCTGAGTAAGAAAGTCAGTCCAAATTACTTCAAGGCAGCAACAAGAAAATGATGCTTAACAGAAAAGCATAGCTAAAAAGTCAAAACTTAAAACAATAGAAAATTTTGCACCAAGATAAACACAAAACTAGGTGAAAAAATGTAGTCCATTAGAGAGTAGAAAAGCAAAAGGACCATGAGTGTAGAGTATTAGAAAAAGAAGAGAACGATGAAGAAAGAAGATGAAACAGAGAGGAGTGTTGTTATCACCAATACAGAAATCAAGGCAGCATGTTAACAGTCAGCTTACGTGACAGATAAGACATCTTTCAAACAAACAGCATCATCCTACTGCTTCTGAAGAAGATGAAGAGTGAAGAGGAAGAGTGAAAACTCTGAAAGCAAAATTGGCATTCAGTGTGTTCCCCCCAAAAAAACAATGCTATAACTTCCTCTAAGAACAAAAGACACTAGTGTAAATTAGTCTGGTATGGAATTTTCCTTCGGGAGCCCATCCAGAAAAGAATAGATGGTCAAAGACAGTAAGCTACTGCTTTGCTTCCCATTTTATAATTCGCATCAAAACGAGCTTTCTTACCTGCCAGTGAACAGGTGATGATGTTACTATGACAGTGATTTACAGGGATGTTAATACTCATTTGCAAAATTTTCCCTACTGGACTTCAGCCAGGTTAAAAATATACACAGACATACATATTTATCATATATTTATCTCAAGAAGCTACTGTCTCTCAATCAGTCATCAACTCTCATTCCCTTCCCTTTAGCCGCCAAATCCTCCAAAGAATGGTGGCATGAGAAAGAGAACACTGCATACAGTGCTCTGTTGAGTGTGCTGGATTTACAAATGTCTAGTAGGATTTAAATGACTGTTTACTTGTCTTTGATATTTAAGCACTGGTTAGTGACTTCTGTTACTTAGATTTTCAATGCAGGATCAAGAGACATCACATTTGACTTTTAAACTTTAAAAAAAATGGATTAAGCAGCCATAAATAGATGAGAAATCACATTATCACAGGAACTACGGTTTTGGAAGAAGCTCATCATCCAACTAGAAATAACCTGGAAATGTTACATTTGTGGAGATCAAGCAATCCCTTGAATTCCCTTGCATGAAGCACTTCATATTCCAGCATTTGCAAAGATGAATAACAAGGTGTGCAGACTTTGTGGGTGCTGAAAATGCATGCAACATGAGAATCTGGGCAGCAGAGGATGCACACAAAGGACAGTCGAGGATGCAAGACTACATACATGAGTTGACACTGAAGGTGCAGAATCCCTAGCATCAGGTTAAAGAGAATCTTACTTGTCTTTGTATACTTTAAACAAGCTTACTTGTCTCAATTTTTTTAACAAATTTGCTTTATGAAAGCAAGATATGAAACTTAAAAATCACCTTTAATGGCTGCTAAATATCCTCTCAGTTCTCTCTGGAGTCTGGAACCCTCTGCCTGAAAAAGAAGAAAAAGCATGGAAGTGAAAATACATGTAAGTTATGTTTAATGCCTTGAAACATGCATGTAGTATGTCTAACTAAAACTGAAAGCAATTTCAAGACCTATCTGATTAACAGTGTCACATGTTATAAGCATGCACAGACTCTCATAAAAAGAAGGACTGGCAAAGGAGGCTTGCATAGTGTACCCTCCAGGCTAGAATTCCTGGGTTTATTTTATCAATCATCTGTACAGGGAAGAACTCCACCCAAAGAAAGACAAATATATTTTACAGCTGTTCAAGTCAGATGTGCCTATGGTCTAATCTGAAATACCAACAAGTATAATCAAAAACGGTGAACTTCCACTGGAAACCACTTAAATGAGGCCAGTCTAGACCTGAAGAAAGTTCTACCCTTACAAGTTGTTTACTATATTTGCAAAAAATTTCCCAAGTATTCTAAAATTTAACATTTTACAAGCAAATAACTATTAAAATATAATAACATTAGTTACTTTGTTTTGCTTGATTAGTGATCTTGCAGTCTACTGTGAAATCTCAACTTTTTCTTTGGCAAATACATCAAAATTCTCTTTCTTTCTCTTATACCAACAACCTTCTCAGAACAGAGAAAACAATGGATTTTGTTACTTTATCTCTGACTGTACCACAAGTTGGACTTCACAGTTCCTAGGATTTGCAAAAAAACCTGTGCTATGCACATACTTATTGCTAAAAAGATCCTGTCCAGGACATATTCAATAGCCTGAAAATTTTTGAAACAGCCCACATTTGCCAGTTTCCAATATTTTTCAAATAATTTATTTAAGCAGTTGGAAACTACAGGACTATCAGCTTGCAGTCACATTTTCTCACATACAGCTACACCATATGGAAAAATCAGCAGCAAAATATGACTGACGGCTTCAAAATATGACTACTTTGGAGTTTCATATTTTCCATATGAAAATCAGAATCTAAAGGGTGAATGTGAATAATGTGTATATTTTAGAAGACAGAAGGGATAAGCTGTTATAACTCCACTTAACTCAAAGGATGTCTGATGTCAGTAAAGGATTTGCCATCAGCATCTTTAACACTCAGAGCATTCAGACACAGAGGATCATAAGAAATTCAGTTTGATAGGGGCTATCTGGTACTTAAAATCCATCACAGCTGCAGCCACGTTAAATCAAAACTGTGGTTCTGAAAAAATACTTGTCTCACCAGTACCTAGAATACAATGCAGATCACACCCACCAAACTCACTTCTCCCAGCTTCTTGAAGGGAACTGTAGGGCTTTAGAATGGGATCATCAACAGCCCCTGCCCCATATCTCAAATTGTAGTGCACTATATGAAGAGAGCAACTGTTTAACCTCCAGGAAATTAAATAATTTGGAAGGCCTGTGTGGGCCTAGAAAGCAGATTGAATTCACTTTATGGATTCAACAAACAGAAGCTTGCTTTTACACTAATTTGATCTGAAACAAGTCATCTACAGCTCTCAAATCCATTAATCAACTAAAATCTGAGGACAGGAATAGACCCACCAGGGTAATATCTGAAAAGCTGCTGGGTAACAGCAGGTGTGAAGGAGCAGCCAGCCCACCAACCATTCTCTGGTTTCGGACCATATTTGATACTCCAAGGACAGGCAACCTTTTCCCCTGCTTTGGAATCAAAGGTGCATATCAAAACAAGTGCAGGAGAGTATCAGTGATTTAACCTCAGATTTAATTACTTATAGAACAACAGAAAGTTCTCGAGTAGTAGCTTGATGTTGTGTCCTTTAAGAAAATATTATACATACATTTTAATACTTTTGTATTTAAATACTTTTAATTTTATTTATTACACTTTAATACTTTTAACAAAATATACTACCCTAAAGTGTCATTACAACACATTATTCATGCTACATAACATAGCAAAAGCTAATTTCATTCTGTGCTCAAGTGGTAGGCAAAGGGATATCAGAAGCTGTCTGTTTTCCATGGACCAAGGCTGTAAGTGATCAGTGCTTCCACAGAGGAAAGGAGATCAGGAGGAAACTTCTTGATCTCATGTCGGAAGAGGAGGATCAACAAATACTTGGCAGAAACTAGATGGAAGTTCCTCTTTTATGCATGCCAGTTTCCTCCTGGGAGGATCCCTTGTACTGTGAGAAGTCACATGAAGGCACAGAAGTTATCTTTCAATTTCATACCTTCTTTGGCCTGAGCTACCATGGTAAAAATGGAAGGTAGAGAAATTTGGTTCTTCACCATGGTCCAGCTGAATAGGTGACTATATTGTAACAACTTTTGGTTATTAAAAAATCTCTGGTGTTCTGGGAGCAGCAAACCACAATTGGAGGGATGAGAGCTGATTTCATCTCCAGTTTTATTCATACACATGATGCTTAGTCACTAGGACTAAGCAGCACACCACAAATGTCAGGGAAACACATTGTTCAAACACCATGTTTATAACTATACTGTGTGCAGCTATACAACTCCTACCCTAAACTGCTATTAGATCTGTTGTGCTTGGTTAGCATTGTGTGTCATCAGGAACTGCTGTTCAGGGAAATGTGTGAGAAGTCAAAGTAGTAAAACATGATGTAAATATTCTGCCATATATGCTGAGTTCTGACACCTCATTCAAAATAATAATTTTAATATGGATCTCCCTCAGTCTAGGTCATTAAGAGGCTACAAACACCTGAAATATCTAAACATGATAGTCTCATATGACTTTTCCCTCATTATCAATTACTGTGTGTTGTAACACTGAAAAATCCATGAGCAAGGGCCAGCTCCTACTGAATCTGAGAGATATTCTCTCAGTTTCAATGGCAACAAAACTAGACCTTTCTAAAAATACCAGAAAAAAATTAGCATCAAAACCCTCAGCTCTGTGAATTCTGAAAAATGTGCATCTGGATTACACATTTTCTATAGTACACTTATTATTAGTGAAGACAGATATACTTTTGTCACCTAACAGACTGATGAAAATTCATAAGATGAAAATACAGCATTGCTGAGTATGCACATCTTGGAAACTGTTACATACAGGTGTTAAAAAGTATTTTTAAAAGATTGTAATGTATTTAATGTCGTCCCTTTACAGTGTTTACTGGTACACTCCTACTTTCTAGTCTGTCAAATAAAAACCACTGTTCCAAGTATCTTCACTAAAGCCAAGAATTTTGTTAAATGAGATGCAGTTTCTTGAGGGACAATAAAAGGTAGCTGTCCTTTCACCAATGTTGTATCCCTCTGAAATAAAATTTCCCAAGACCGCTCTGATGCTTCCTTTTATGATTTCATAATTTCTTTCATTTATTCTGTATAAGTCAGCAAAATGAGTCAGAGCTTTATAAGATGAAAGAAACTCCAGAGGAAAGTCTTAATAGCAAACTTCTTACAACCAGTTTGTTTGACAACACTGTGCATGTTCTACCAGACTCCAGCACCAAAAATATCAGTGCTCTTAGCTCACCTTATCAAACTCAGTGCACAAATCACCAAAAATCTAGTACATAATCCTGTTTCCATAAGAGCAAGGAAGGCATGCCAACAACCCAAACCAACACCATTTTTGGGAAAGTCAACACAGCTCTTCACAGCAATGTCCCAAATAATAGTTTGTTGCTTTGAACAATGTAGCCTATCACCTTTCTACTCTCTGGTCTGTCACACAATCAGCATTATATAGCTGGTAAAGACACACTCAGTGAGATAAGAAGGTTCAGTGTTTAAGGATCTAGCAATCTACAGCCACAGGCCTTACACACCCTGACAGCAGCATTAGGCCTTTTCAGTACTACTGATTCTTGGGTATGTTTCGTTTCAGTTTTCTTTTAAATTTGTAGCATTTAAGCATATCTTAGCACTGGAAGTAAGAAAAAGAGCCACAGCACTGTTAGCTGTGATACTGATGAGACCTAAAGAAAGTTAATGATGAAAACTAAACCCCCATAGTTTCCATCTAACCAGCTTTTGCTTCCCGATGAATTAGAAAATCTGTTGCATCCACTCAGAAATTAAAGACCACATTGCCTCTACGAAAGTTGTAATTGGATGTCCTATTTGCCAGGAATCATGAATTTACAGCTTTTCAGTCAGAACAGAAGAGTTTGATTTCTCTATCATGTGTTCTCTATCTATTGTGTTTACAGGATGTAAACACAATACATCTTTCCAGGAAAGGTCAGCACATGAATGACATACAAAACCCAAATATATCACTCCAATTTAGTGAGAGGCAAGAGCATTGAAATTATTGAAACTGGAGCACAGGGTAATTAATAACAAATATAATAATCATAACAATAACAACAACAACAACAATTAAAACAACAACAACAATTAAAAATTACAGTTATTAATGCAGCTCTAATTAATATCAGAATTTCATCATTCCATTGTTAAGACGACAGAGAAATGGCTGAAAAGAAAACATTTTCTGTATCACCTGGAAGATATTCTTTATTGTAATGTGCTGTTACTTGTCACAGTGTTGAGCAGTGCTGTCTCTTTGTTCATAAACACTTTAGGCATTATTTACTACTAGGTCTTTTACAGAACTATGTAGTATGAATGAAAATAACTATTAAATTAAGAGAAGCTTAACACAATAAAAGGCCACTTGGACAAATCTGCAATTCAATATAAAATCTATCTTCCTTCCAGAGTACTCTATTTTACCATTTATCAATGTCTTGGTCTAAAAGACAGGTGTTTGCTAAGGAGGGCAGGAACCTCCCTTGGAATGGAGAATATGACCTCCTTCCCTCTAAATTATTATGATTTTGAAATTAAGGGGCTTTCAGGCAAAGATAGAAGAAAAGGAATAACAGTTCTTTACTAGTATGTATATGGATAACAAGGCAACAGTGGGAGCAGCAACAAACAGAAGCAGGAGCCCAGTGACAGCCTTCACTCGGCTGCGGCACTTCCCCTTGGGTGCAGTTTCGGCCACAGCCAGCAGGGGCGCTGGTGGCTCCCGGCCGGGCAGGGAGGGT